GGGGGGGGGCTGAAGCCCCTCAAGCCCCCCCCCCCGGCTACATGCCTGATGCCGGCCATATGACCTTGGAGACATCTATGGACAACACTGGCTCTTCGACTTAGAAATGGAGATGAGCACCACCCCCCAGAGTCGGACTCGACTAGACTTAATGTCAAGGGGAAAAGCTTTACCTTGATGTTTTTGCAATATATTATTATTGGAGAAAGGGCTAGAAAGAGTAGGTGGGTTTGTTTGGAACAAAGAAGGAAAATTCATCAGAATGGTAGTAATATATTATGAAATGCCTTGAAATGAACAAATATCTGCATTTAAAAATGTAAAGTCAACACAGTCCTATTGTAAAAGCAATGATATAAAGTTTTGATTCTTTAAGGGAGGCATTATACATGTGATCTTCTCTATTCAGAATGTGTGTGTGGGTTCAATGGGTATTCCTCCCTCACCATTTTTATTCCTCTTTTCTATCCTTCTTTTTGCCTTATGAAGTACTAAATAGCAATAAAATGTTATCCATTACTGATGTTCAGTGGAGTATTCGACCAAATTGAAAGGCGTTTGAATATTGTACAAGGATGTAAGCATGCTCATTGAAACAGATAATTAAATGTACTCTTAGCTTTCAAATGTGTTTTCAGCTCTGTGGCATTTGTCTTCCAAAGGCTGGCTGGAAGAAGACAACCAGTGGATGACCCAAATAGACAGACTTCAGAAGCTGATTGACAGGCTGGAACAGAAGGTGGGTATGTTGTAAAAACACCCATTCCCTTTGCTTCATGTCCTCCTTCATTTTTCTTTAATAGCCCGTGAAATTTATTTGCTGTGGAGTCAGGAGAAGTTGATAAGAGAGAGATATGCTTTTTCCAGAACCCCTCCAAACCTGAACATCTTGACATTGCAAAAGGATAGAATATTTTAGCCTCTATCCATCAGCAGATATTTGATTATTTGACTTCCCAGTCCTAATTGTTGAAGGTTCTGAGAACTTCAGCATGCCAGTGACAAGTATGAAATTCTGCCAATAATTTGAATGAATTCAATGAAATGTTGCCATTCATATCAATATTGTGGAATTATTTGCTTTTCAGTTATTATGAGAGATTAATCCAAAACTTACAGCTATGAAAATGTGTTACCTAACATACTTAGGGCTTCATTGGTTCTGCTGTATTGTGTAAGGCCCACAATAAAGTAAAGAGATATTTAATCTAATTCTGCAGTGACAATCATTGCACTGCCTGTTATCACATGGTAACTTTATAACATAGTACACATCAGTGGGTTGCAACCAATTCTTTCATTTAGCAATCACAAAGCTACAGCTTGTGGGGATCACATTTTCCTCCTTGCTTGTGTGTCTGATCTAATATAGTACAACCCCAGGATCCACTGGGGACATGTTCCAAGACACACAGACAAAGCCTATGAATACCCAACACTGGATAATAGCAAAGGGCGGGGAGGGGGAGTTGCAGTGGTCTATAAGGATTCTATTTCCCTGACCAAGTGCCCCATCCCACAGTCAACCTCCTTTGAATGTGTCGGCATTAGGGTACGTGACCGGGACAGGATAGGGATACTGTTAGTGTACCAACCACCCCGCTGCACTACAGTTTCCCTACCTGAGCTAGCCGGAGTGATCTCGGACCTGGCATTGGAGCCTCACTGACTTTTAGTCCTGGGAGACTTCAATGTTCATGCCGAGACCTCTCTGTCAGGTGCAGCTCAGGACTTCATGGCCGCCATGGCAACCATGGGCCTGTCCCAATTAATATCTGGCCCCACTCATTGTGCTGGGCACACACTAGACCTGGTTTTCTGTCAGGGATGGGATGATGGTGGCAGGGTGGAGGAGCTGACCATCGCTCCCTTGCCATGGACCGAGCACTACCTGATCAGGTTTAGACTTACTGCCTCTCTTAGCCTCTGCAGGGGTGGTGGACCCATCAACTTTTGGCCAGTTTCCAATCTTCCCTATTTGGGCAAAGTCGTGGAACATGCGGTGGCTTCACAACTCCAGGGGTTTCTGGTAGACACTGATTATCTAGATCCGTCACAGTCTGGCTTTAGGCCGGGACATGGAACCGAGACAGCCTTGGTCGCCTTGGTAGATGATCTTTGCTGGGAGCTTGACAGGGGGAGTCTGTCTCTGTTAGTTCTGCTGGACCTCTCAGCGGCCTTCAATACCATTGACCAGGGTATCCTTCTGGAACGCCTCAAAGATATGGGACTTGGGGGTACTGTTCTGCAGTGGCTCCAGTCCTTTCTTGAAGGATGGTCCCAGAAGGTGTTATTGGGTGACACCTGTTGTTTAACATATACATGAAGCCGCTGGGAGAGATCATCCGGAGTTTCAGAATGAGGTGTTATCTCTATGTGGATGACGTCCAAATCTGTCACTCCTTCCCACCAGTTACAAGGAGGCTGTCGGAACTTTGAACTGGTGCTTGGCTGCTATGCTGGGCTGGATGAGAGCTAACAAACTGAAATTGAATCTAGACAAGAAAGAGGTCCTACTAGTCAGTCGTAAGGATGAACAGGACATAGGGTTACAGCCTGTGTTGGATGGGGTTATACTCTCCTGAAGACGCAGGTTCACAGCTTGGGAGTAATCCTGGACTTATCGTTGAGCCTGGAACCCCAGGTTTCGGCGATAGCTAGGAGAGCTTTTGCAGAGTTAAATTTGTGCGCCAGCTGCGCCCGTACCTTGGGAAGTCAGATTTGGCCACGGTGGTCCATGCTCTTGTCACATCCTGAATAGATTACTGCAACGCGCTCTACGTGGGGTTGCCTTTGAAGACTGTTCGGAAACTGCAATTAGTCCAATGGACGGCAGGTAGATTACTCACCGGAGCATCATACAGAGAGCATGCCACCCCCCTGTTGTGTCAGCTCCACTGGCTGCCGATCCAATTCCGAGCACAATTCAAAGTGCTGGTCTTGACCTATAAAACCCTATACGGCTCCGATCCAGTGTACCTGTCCGAACGTATCTCCTTCTACATCCCACCTCGGAGCTTAAGATCTTCTGGGGAGGCCCTGCTCTCAGTCCCGCCTTTGTCTCAAACACATCTGGGGGGATGAGGGACATGGCCTTCTCGGTGGTAGCCCTCTGCCTGTGGAATTTGCTCCCAGGGGAAATTAGGTCATTGTCATCCCTCCTCACCTTTAGAAAAAGTCAAAATGTGGTTGTGGGACCAGGCCTTCGGGCAATCAGGTTAATGGACAATGGATAATGTTCGACTATAGCTTGGAAGTGGATTTGGATAAATTAAGCGGAGTAATATATGGCTACATAAATAGCCACCAGACTATTTTATGGATCGTAAGCATACTGTTTTAATCTTTATTTATTAATGTTCATGTTTTTAATTGTTATATTTGTTATTTTGTATTTTATGATGCGGCATTGAATTATTGCCAATTGGAAGTTGCCCTGAGTCCCCCTAGGGGTTGAGAAGGGCGGGGTAAAAATGTTCTAAATAAATAAATAAATAAATCTGATTCTTTGACCATATTTGAAGCATATCATAGAAGCACACTGGAGGACTTAAAGAGGCCCACACTCACTTCTGGGTGGGAATGTTTTTAGAGCATGGGTATATGTAACTGCGGATATAGAACCGGTTGATAAGGAGGTAATATTGCACTGTGATTCCACTTTTCTAAATCATTCTATGGATCATTGTACAAACTCTAAATAGGCTGTTGTATCAGTTGCTAGTTATGCTGAGCTATTTCATAAATTGAGCTGTATGCCATCACAAAAGTTGTTATATAAACTATTCCACAAGCCATTGCATAAAACCACAGCAACTTTATTGGGTTGGATGTTTCTTGTGTTAATTGTGTGTCTGTGATTGTACTAATGAAGCTTTTGTATGTTTTCCACCAACATAATATTGGATAGTACCTAGCTGAAGTTAACATCATTTGCAGTGAGATTATACCAGAATGTATTTATTTTTGGTGTGTTCCGTTTGTTTACTGTGACATCTAAGCTACCCTTTTAAAGTATGCCCAATCTAGCAAGAATGTTTCCCAAATACCTCTCCCAAAATATAAGATCTCTCTTGATAACTCCATAAAAGTTCTACAAAATCTTTTATTCCATATTCATGTTAGTTTTTCACAAAACAGGATTTGTGATGGTTTTACTTTTCAAGTAATTCCAAGTGCAATTATAGCTAATTTTTGGTGTTTTTTGTTTGGCTTTCTACTTCCTACGATTGAAAAGGAGTTAAAGCTTGAACCACTGGAAGAAGAGATATCAGATGGAGACACTAAATCTGTAAGTCTCTTTCTTTCCATTGTGAATTGATTATGGTTCAGCTTCAAAATCTATCCATGCTTCTTGAGGGAAAATGGCAAGGAATTAAAGACAGTCTTCTACATTTTTTGGGACTGGGAATATAGGTCCTCATGAAAGTAAAAAAAAAACATGAATAAAGAATTACTATATTTTTGCCTGAGAGAACATCTATCTGGGTATTTCTAGGTCTTCTAGCATGACTCTAAGGTCAACTGACACTAGAAGCTAATTATAGAATCATATTGGAGGACCTAGAGATTCCTAGAAAGAAGTCTCTGTATCCTCTAGTATGATTGGAGGAAGTTGATCATAGTATAAGTAGAGTTACATGGGAGGATTTAGATTCCTTGAGACATTTTTAATCAAATCCATGAATAATCAAATCTGCAAAAGCCAAAATAGCACATAGAGAGAACTATATTTGTTGGTAATTGACTGATTGTCAAAAAAGGTTTGGATGAAGGTAAACAACTGGAAATGTACTAGAGACAAGACACCGGTCCTCTTGGTCAGTTGCAAGGAAGATTGGGAAATAGAGATTCAGCCTGAATGAGGTTACACTCCTGAAATCTCAGGTTTGCAATTTAGACATTCTCCTGAAATCAGAACTGAGTCTTGGTGACTAGATTTTGACTGTGGTCAGAAGTGCATTTGTAGTTAAAGCTAGTGCATAAACTGTGAATGTACCTGGGTTTGCTAGATCTGGTTTTAGTGACTCATGCCTTGATGACATCCTGTTCAGATATATATGATGTCCCGATCAAGAAAATAACACCATCCTATTCTGTTTGGCCATATATAACTTGGAGTACGGTGTCCAGTTCTGTGCATTCCTTTAATGAAGATTGAGTACTGTGGTTAAAATGACAAATAGTGTAGAAAACATTTTGTGAACCGCAGTAGTGAATTGGGTGTGTCTAGTCTAGAGAACTGTAATACCCAATACACTAGCTGTGTTCAAATATTTGCAGGGCTGTTGAATGGTAGATATAGAAAATCTATTTCCTTTTGTTCCAAACGTTATGATCCAATTCAGATTATAAAAAAGAAGATTCCAAATTTAACATATAGGAAGAATTACTTGAAGATGGTAAAGGTTGTTTGATATTATATCAGATGGTGATGACCTCTCTTCCACGGGAGTTTGGATAGGCGCCTCTCAGGATGTTTCAGCTGTAGACTCCTGCAGTTGCACAAAGTGAGACAAGGCATCTCTTGGGTCTCCCTTTCAACTATACAATTCTGTGATTAATGTATTGTCGAAGGCTTTCATGGCTGGAATCTCTGGGTTGCTGTAGGTTTTTCGGGCTATATGGCCATGTTCTAGAAGCATTCTCTCCTGACATCTCGCCTGCATTTATGGCAAGCATCTGAGGATGCTTGCCATAGAAGCATGCGAAATGTCAGGAGAGAATACTTCCAGAACATTGCCATATAGCCCAAAAAACCTACAACCCAATTCTGTGATTGTATGATATAGCAGCCAAAACACTTGTGTAACAGACATACAGTGCATGTTTACTGATTACATTACTCTATTGCTTTTGTCAGCACATCATGATTGTTCAGCGCCAGATGTCAGTAATAACAGAAGAACTAGAGAAGTTCCGATTTGCTCTGAAACAGTATGCAGATATTGCCTCTTCTCAAGATGGATGTCTGCAGTGAGTACCATACATTTATTCCTCTCTTAGGTTTAAACTATTTAGATCACCATTCTGGATAGGCACCAAAAGTTATGAATGAATGGATTCTATAAACACTCTTGATATTATAACCGAGATGTAGCCCAATCTAGTAGTCTTAAAGTTTCTCTTCAGTTTCAGTAGGATTTAAATTACAAATAAATACAGCACAACCCACAGTAAGCTAAATGGCAGATGGAAGCAGCAATCAATAACACAGTAGGAAATGGAGGCTTCCATCAGTTAATAAAGACTCTGCCAAATAAGCTCCTCTTTATAACTTATTTTAATATTATGTAGTCTCCTTTTCTTCCCTGTTGTTTTGTTTTTAGCACCACTGGCATTGAAAATATGGTTGAGGATTAGAGAAAAAACGTTTTGAGTGTTGGGATTGCAGCAGTAGGGCAGGGTTGCTCTCTAGCCTGCTGTTTACCTGTCTTAAAAAGGCAAGATGCTCCAAAATCCCTTACTGAACATGTGAGAAACAGCAAGACACAGAAAAGGGGAGAGCAGGTAAAACTGCCTTACTGGGCAACCCTAATATGTTAATATATCAGCGATCTATATTTAGCCACCAAAGTGAAAATAGTAACAGCAGAGGGTGGTGGGAAAAAAAAGTAATCTCTGGATGCATTTCAGGAAGATTCAAAATGTTTTTTACTCATGGAAGGCTTATCTCACCTGATTTCATTTCAAATGTGCTTGTGGTTAATTCTGGATTCAGTTTCTTGAAACATGTTGACTCCCTCTTTTTTTGTGGTGTAAGAACCTATTCCTTTCTATGTTTTGCTTTGCTAAGTGAGGTATACTTATAAGCCCCATTGTACATATTTCATTAAGTGAGGCCGGTTCTGCACTGCCAAATAATAATGCAGTTTGAATTGCATTATATGGGCAGTAGAAAACCATATAATGCAGTTCAGTCTGTACAAGGATATCCAGATGTATACTTGTAAGCTTCTCTGCACATATTTCAAGCTACTTCTGAGTACATATTCTGTAAGTCAAATAAAATAGTTTGCTAAATAATTTTGGGAGCCCCCGGTGGTGCAGTGGGTTAAAGCACGGAGCTGTTCAACTTGCTGTCAGAAAGGTTGCAGGTTCAAATCCAGGGAGCAGCATGAGCTCCTGCTGTTAACCCCAGCTTCTGCCAACCTAACAGTTTGTAAGCATGTAAATGTGAGTACATCAATAGGTACCGTTCCCCGGGAAAGTAAAGGCGCTTCATGCAGTCATGCCAGCCACATGACCTTGGAGGTGTCTATGGACAATACCAGCTCTTTGGCTGAGAAATGGAGATGAGCACCAAGGCCCAGAGTTGGACACGACTGGACAATGTCAGGGGAAAATCTTTACCTTTACCTTGAAGAATTTTGAGAGCACCACTTTTGTTATTCACGTACAGTTGATTCCTGTGGTGGCTGCTAGAACTAAGGAGAATTTATTTAAATGCCCCTTCCTTTCCTATTGCAGGGCAATACTTTTTTTTGGCTCTTTTTAATGTGCCTCTCTGTGGTATTTTGATCATTTATTTTTGTAATCGATGTTGTCATTGAAAAGCAGAAAAGTATGTGTTTTATGTAAGCTGGGGAAAAAAAGCAGGGTGTTATTTGCGCTTGGCTTTCTCTGCCTCCGAGAACTCCCAGGCTGTGCTTGAGTGATCACTACAATCTTAGGAATCACATTTAGTCATTAAGGACTACATGCTGAGGAACAGATTTGTCTGTACAAATATTTGTGAAGATCAAATTCCAACGTTCAACTGCCACATGCACTGGCAGCAGAATGATGAAACAATTAACACAGACATACAGAGAGATAAGAGCCAAATAAGCTAATGCATTATAAGCCACCTTGATGTTAGTTCATACTATCCATTTTATGAAGGTGCTTTCAAATGAAGAAACTAGTGTCTCTAAAAAGTAATTGTAAATATAGTAACTATATTGTGTGTGCTTCAGTGTGTGACTGGAGAATCTAATTTAAGATAAACTGTGCGGCCAGTGAGAAAACCTGGTGTGCCTCTCCTCTTCAGAATAATTAGTCTACTTACTAAACATTTTCTATACAGATTGCTCATTTTATTTTTATATACGAGTGTTCAGGTGAAATTGCCTTAGCTGCTAATATAACAATGCAGTATCTGAGAACTTTTATCAACATAGAGGAAATGAAAGCATAGAAATGGAAAAAATGAAGAGATACTTACAATAAAACAATGGTTTTGTTAGGAAAAATGAATTAGTGGACAAAAATATTTGTAAAATAATCTGTTGATATTACTCCTTTGCCTGACATGCTGCATTCCACATGTACATGGTGCCACCTGCTGGTGCTTCTAGATTTGACAATTTGTACATTTATCATAATTATTTTCCCCTGAACAAAGTAAAATTTGACAGCATTCCACTGCTGAAGATCTGCTTTCCAGTTCAATTAGATGCTCAACTGCAAATCTTTCCAGTCAGCTGAGGATCCATTGGTGAAAATGACTGCTGAGTAGGACAAGAAAAAAGAAATAGAAAGCTCTGGATTTAGCTTTATTTGGAGCAAAGCAAGGAATGATATGGTAGAAGGGACTGGGGGCATGAGATCCCCCGTCTCTGGCTGGCTGATGATGGACATAATTCAAACTGTCTGGATTCCTCTTTGCACCAATCAGAGAATAATTAATACTTCTTACGAAATTCATTTCCTTCTAATTAAAATGACCACATGGAAGATCTGCCTCTTTAAATTGTGTACTGTTCAATGATTTCTACATTTTGGTAGAATCATAAGAGGAAAGGCCAGGGCCCCCAACTAAGACTATTCTCTCTATTCCAGCTGGTGGCTCTGTGTTGGCACTACACCATTTGTGTGAAGCACAGAAACCACAATTTCCTGCTATGAAACAGCTGTGAGTTTTAGTCTCGCAGACGTCTCTTGGTTTTAAACAGGTTTCCTGTAATTCTTGGGAATTGTGGTGTCTTTCAAAATCACTTTCCATCTTGTGGCCATGAGAAAGGAAGGGGAGCCTGCCTTACTGTCACTTGTTTTCATAACAGACAGATTTCCCATTGTGTCTGAATCACTTGAGCCAATCACTTCTTCACTCTGGTTGGGTTGCCATCATATTAATTAATATCCATCAAATTAATTATGTTCTCTCTCTCTCTCTCTCTCTCTCTCTCTGCCCCTCACCCCCCTTCTAGTGTTTCCATTCAGAAACTTTCCAGTGGATCCCACTTCGTTGTTTATGAATTCTGGGATGACAATGCCTGGAACAGGTATTCAAATAGCTGTGCCCATTTTGATGACTGTTTTTGAAAATGTCAGATTTGAATTTGTTGTTTTAAAGGCCAAGATCCTATGTAATCCTGGCAGAGCAAGAAAAAAATGCAGCTAGTATTGTTACTGAGGACTGACAAAGTCCTGCGCCCAGAGAGGTAGTTCAAAAAAGTTATCTAGCCTGAAATAATAAATTTGACAAGCCACAAATCCATCTGGGTATTGTGGGCTAATTAGTGGTCATATTGGCTTAGAGCTGGGAGCAGCTGTGGTCAGATGCCCAAACAGCATGCAACTGTGCTCATTGTGGCACCTAACTCGGTTGTAACGTGGGCAAATTGTGAGAACCACCTGCCCAAGAAAGCATTGGATTCTCCTTGTTGAAGATTGGAATATATGCAGGCCTTGCACAACTTTGTGCAACCATACTGCCAACATTAGATCTAGACCTAGAAGTGAAACTTGATTTTCCAAAAAGATTCAGTATTTGTATCATCTAGTTCTGTAGGGAAAAGCGCATTTTTAAACACATAAGTTGTTTATTCTGTGCCAGTTTTCTATAGTAGTTTATTAGTTAAAAGTCTGTAATGCTAAACAGAAAAGTAATTTCCAAATATAGTTTTCTAGAGTTTCTACTCTGGCTATGTTTAACCTTGAAATGTTATTTGGAATACTTGAATCGGCATATTAATAGAATAGGCAGAAGCATGTAAGAAAGAGGTGAAAGAATGTTGTCAGTTCTAATAGGTCTGAACACAATGAAGGCTGTGATACATCTGAAAATGACTCTAACATAGTATGAAAATATTCCAGAAGAGAAACATTTTTCTCTTTACTAAATTTCCAATTATCAAAGAAATGAGAAATTTGGGGACCACCAATTGACGTTTTACTACTTAGTAAGAAGCCTGAGTAAGACAAATCATATGATCTCCAAAGAGAGGCACTATCTTCATAACCATTCTTCTTGAGCTATGCTTAGTTATCCAACAGGTAATGCTGTGTACTTTTGAACTGAAAGTTTGTGAGAAGTTGTAAGCATAGACTCAGCTATTAATCACTGTCAATGCAGTTGTCCAACAAACTAATATAACAAATACACTGGAAACTTGTAAATCAGTATGGTTTACTGGCATATTTTATTTTGAAGTGTGGACTGATACAGAAAGGGAAATGTGCTGTAAATGTCTAAATGTAATATTTATTTCTACAGACATCTGCAGACAAATTACAGCAAGACATTCCAAAGGAGTAATGTGGATTGCTTAGAAACTCCAGAGCACATAACAACAATGCTAGTGCCTGGTAATAATATTTGAATTTTACGTAAACAAAAACTCTTTTCTTTATCTCTCTTCAGTCTTCCCATTACACCTGTATTTCATTCTAAGGGGAGCAACAAAGCACCCCATTAAGTAATTTCTTCTTTTTAATCAGTTTGACTGTCCATTACAACTAAAGCTGCAACCCTGGCCTATGCAAGCTCATTTAAAACTAAGACAATTTAGTTTACTTCCAGTAAAATTCCATAAGACATGTTTCCTTGCATATAAACTTTACTGGACCTGACTACAGCACTATCTATTGTAAATAGCAAATATATGCATGTCTGCCTCTACAACCACTTGACAATAATATGTTTATTAACTACAATTGGTTTTACAATTTAACACATGGGTAGGAATCATGCAAACTGTATCCTCTCCCCCATTCAAACACAGCCCCCCAAACACTGATTCTATCCTAAAATTGGATGTACAGGACAAGACCCTGGATTGAAAGGCACATCACTCATGAGCAATCTCTGGCTTGTAGAGAGCAAAGGGAGCGGTAGAGAAGTGCTCAGCTTTATTCTTATATCTGGGAACCATTGACAGATAACCTCTGGGCTGTCTCTGAGTTCCTCCATAGGACCCTGAAATATAGGGACCCACGGAGGACCTATATTGGATATAGCTGCATGCCACTGCTGAGCATACAGCTTTATCCATCTCATATATTTACAAATGCTCTTGAAATCTCTACACATACCCAAAAACACATCCATAAAGTATGATGGCACCAAGAATGGCATCCATGACAATGCATGTCTGGAGTGTCCCAAAAATAGAATGCTATGGGCTCTGAATATAACATGAATACAATTCCATTCAGACCAAATGGGGTGGTATGGACAAATTCCAGGGGAAAATTTTGCTTTCTGGGTTCTACTAGCAGGTATGCACTCACAGCATATATATAAACTCCTATGCATTCTGAGTCCTTTACCTATACCTATGAAAATACTGTGTTTTAGATGAATACTACATTTTAGACTAAACATGTAAACCACATTCACAAATAACTCTCTAAAGGGGGAATATTACTGCGCAGACAAAAATCAAGATATACAAAATAACTGCATTGAATAACAATACAATGACAGTCTCCCTAAAAGTGCAAAATACAAATTACAACCAAAAAGAACGTATTTGCTTTACAACACAAAAACACTCATGATGAGGAGACTTGCAAGGAGCAAGTACAAATTTAAGTAATGTGAAATTTTAGGGGTTGCTCACAGAAACAAAAGTTGCATCTCACTGTTGCCACTGGGACTGGGAAGCATTGTAACCCTAATTCAAACAGTGTAAAAAGGGAGGACAGAGATATAAGGTCCTCTAAGTCAGTGCTTAGATGTTAAAGAAAAGAATAAGCTGCATACTGCAAAGCTGTTATGTTCTAAGCAGCAGCAAGAAATCTTAACTTACAGATAAAATTTTTACTAAAAGAACATGATTTTCTAACCATCTATTATTTTCTTTTTCTAGCTTCCTGGTGGGTCCTGAATAACAACTAGAAGCTTCATTACAATTACCTAATAATCTGTACATAACTAAAACAACACTAACAGAATCACTGTAAAGTCAATAAAGTTAATAGATGACAAGCTTTACTTCATGGACGCAGGCTCCCATTTAAGAACAGAGCTAAACTGTACAAATTCTCACAGCTACTTTCAGGAATGGTGTGAACTGGTCTTTTGTTTCATATGACTGTCTTTTGGTTTTATTTATTTTTTATTATAGGTGTTAACTATTTGTAACGTATCTTGTGAATTTTTAGAAATCAAGTAGGATAACATAACAATACTGCTTATAATAGTCACTGCTGCCTTGGCTTAATAATTTGATGTACAGTACAGTCAGCCTCACCACGTATACAGAAATGATACATAAAATTTGCAAACAAATGATGTGTGATTGTTTTCATATATATTAATAAGGAGCTGATAACAACATTCAGCTTCTGCTACTTCATTGTATGATTTGAACTTTAAATCAGTCCCAACAGGCAGCTATCCAGACTCTGTTTAAAAACCATCAGAGGAAGTCAATCACACTCAGAAACAGCATATTTTACCGTCTAATAGTTCTTACCATCAGGAAGTTCTTCCAAATGTTTAGGTGGAATTTCTTTTCCAGCAATTGGGACCCTTTGCTCCTTGTGTCCTAGTCTCTAGAGAGCAGAGAACAAGCCTGCCCCCCTCCTCAATATAACAACCTTTCAAATATTTAATCATGCTTATCGTGTCCCCTCTTAACCTTCTCTTCCCCAAGCTAAACATACTCTGGGTTGTTGTAGGTTTTTCCGGGCTGTATGGCCATGTTCTAGAGGCATTTCTCCTGACGTTTCGCCTGCATCTATGGCAAGCATCCTCAGAGGTAGTGAGGTCTGTTGGAAGTAGGAAAATGGGTTTTCTATATCTGTGGAATGACCAGGGAGGGACAAAGAGCTCTTTTCTGCTGGAGCTAGGTGTGAATGTTTCAACTGACCACCTTGATTAGCATTTAATGGCTTGGAAATGCCTGGGGGGAATCTTTTGTTGAGAGTGATTTGATGTGCCTGATTGTTTACTCTCTGTTGTTTTGCTGTTGTAATTTTTGAGTTTTTTAATACTGGTAGCCAGATTTTGTTCATTTTCATGGTTTCCTCCTTTCTGTTGAAATTGTCCACATGCTTGTGGATTTCAATGGCTTCTCTGTGTAGTCTGACATGGTGGTTGTGAGAGTGGTCCAGCATTTCTGTGTTCGCAAATAATCTGCTGTGTCCAGGCTGGTTCATCAGGTGCTCTGCTATGGCTGACTTCTCTGGTTGAAGTAGTCTGCAGTGCCTTTCCCCCCAGGCACTTCCAAGCCATTAAATGCTAATCAAGGTGGACAGTGAAATATTTTATAATGGATCCTGACTCAATTCTGAGCAGATAACTCATAAATCATAGAGTTGGAAGAGACTACAAGGGCCATCTAGTCCAACCCCCCTGCTGTACAGGAATATAGAATCAGGAAAATCAAAGTAACTTGAACAACCAACATAATAAAAGCAGTTCTGAAGAACTTCTCAGTATATAATCAAACTCAAAATAATGTTCTGTACCAACAAGAAAAAAACCTTACTGCTGGGGTGAGGCAGGATGTGTATCTCAGTACCCATTGCTTAATCTAAAATACTTCCCTCAACCGACTGTGCTTTGAACTTAAAGAAATTTTAAGCCTTGCCTCATTACTCCAAAATCCTATTCAAATATTTCTGATCAAATTTACTCTAAATGTTTTCAGGAGCATAATAGAATTTCTGGAGTTTCGATAAAAAATACTGAACTACAAGAAATCTAAACATGTCATTCAATACCTTTTGTTGGCATAATAAATGCTGCAAATGAAGGGTGTTCTCCCAAGGACTGAACACACACACACACACACACACACACACACACACACACACACTCTTTCATGAAAAATACCATATTTCCTAGAGTCTAATAGTCACCTTTTTTTGGCTAAATTACATTGCCAAAAGCGACATGCATACTAGATTCAATGGTGTGTTAGAATTGTGTACATAAACCCACCTGTGTGAAAAGGCCTGGTGGAAACTGGAACGCCAGAGGCTGTACGGGGAGGCTATTCCAGGTGGCGGCAGCAGTCTTGGGGCTCAATGGCACCTGGAGAAGGAGTGCCCAGCAGGTGATTTAGTTATGGATCCTGCCTCCCAGGTTGCCCTTGCCCTCCATCGCCCACCCCCTACCCAGGCTCAGTACCATGAAGTTCCCAACTGCCCTCATTCACAAGGCCTTCACCCTCACCCAGTTTTGAAAGCCTCATGAATGACGCCAGATGGGAACTGAGCACAATCCTGATCTGACAGATGGCATGGCTTCACAGATGCTCTAATTCAAGCTGTCTGCCTCTCCAACATGCTACACCTCCGTTGTTGGGCACATTACATTCAAGGGCAATGTGAACCTTCAAAATGTTTGTAATGTACACTTTCAAAATTGAAGTGCACATTACATTCTATAGTGCATTACACTTCAATAAATATGGGTAATTTAGAACAGCTTCTTCCAACCTGATCCCTTCAAGATGCATTAAATAACTTTCATGACCCCTCCTGAACCTAGCCTTTATTCTGACTAGTTGATGATGGGACACAATCCAACACATTTCAATGGCATTGGGGTGGGGCATGCTGATTACAATAATCTTGAGTTGCTCAAACATACACAAGCAACAGTCTATCCCAACTTCAATGTAGTGTGTGTACCTTGTGACTGCTTATGGACGCTAGAGGTCTCTTCACATCAGTTACCCCTAGCCAATTTTTTCTCACTGATCCTTCATCCACCGCGTCCCAGGGAAATGTTTTAATAGTCTAAGAGATTAAGAATGTGTTTTTGCAAAAGCATTATTTGGCAATGAATTCTAGGAATGAGCTCCATGCTAAAGTGGCTCTGAAATCCATTCAAAACTTAATTTGTAAAATAAATACTTACTGGTTTTTCAAGTACAATAGGATGATCAGGAAGAAATTCTGGTTTCTTTTGAGCAAGTGAAACTTCTGAAAGTTTCAAAAGGTAATCTCTACTATAGGTTATTCTTTCTGCCAACACAAAATTAAGAAATGTTTAGTTGAGAGGCATTTGGGCAAACAAGAAATTAAAGATAAATATGTTATTTATTATTTTTACATCGCCAAAACAAAGACGTGTTTTTAAAACTGTAAATGTTATCAAAGTAAGTAAATCTGAGGGCCCTTCCAAAGAGGCCTTATACATCAGGATCTAATCCCAGGTTTTCAGTTTATCCCAGATTATCTGGCAATGCAGACTCATATAATCCAGTTTAAATCAGATCCTGGAATATAGGGCCTGTCTGGAAGAGCCCTGAGTTCTACATTATGGGATTTGAAAGTTTATTAATTGATACTTAAATGTAGCCATTTTTAACTTATGGAGGTGATGGGATAACCTTTATGTCGTAGTCTTAACATCTGACAATACCAAAAGCAGACTGTGTTATAATATCAATGGTCCTATGGAAGGAATAGGAAAGACCATGTGACTGATACAGTTTTTCTATCCTAGTAACTAAAATATCTTGCAGTGAAGTCTGTCTTTGGAATGAGTTTTGCAATATTAATAGGTCACCATTTTAGTCTGTCAAATATCTGAAAATTTAAAAACAAGATTGATTAGGTTGTAAACTGGTTTTAGACTTCTCTGAAGCTACTCATGACATCTAGCTACACATCAGTCATTGTCTCAAATAAAACAGTACTTGGTATTATTGTATAATTTCACATTTTCCCCATTATTATTATTTGCTTCATTTATAGCCTGCTTTTCTCACCTCCTTAGGGGGAGTCATGGTGGTTTACAACTCCGGCAAGATTCAATGTCACTTAAAACATAGTCATAAAACACATAGAATATTAACAGATTAAGACATGTAAAGTGCATCCCATAGTTTTATTGTATTTTTCACTGATTGTGTATATACAATGTTTACCTTTTGTAACTTCAGGTTTGTGCTGTTCTGATACGTGCGGAATCAGACTTTCATTTAAAACCAGTAGTTGGTTGGATTTACATATCTAAATTAAAAATATATAACATTTTACAGAAATTTAGAATTTTATTGGGGAATTTGGAAATATACAGAAATTTTCTACAGGCTGAGACACAATTATCCATATCAGTCTGAAAAACCAAATTTACACACAAGATCCTAATCACTCTTAAGTCGGTGACTTCTACTCTAATTTCATGGAGCCGGTGGTTTAGGAGAATGCCACAGTCAATGGCATAAAAAAATTAAAAAGCAGCTAGGCAATACTCCTTATCTCTCTCCTGTTGAAATTATTTATCACAGTGACCAAAGCAAATTTCGCCCAAAATCAGGCCAAAGCAAATTTCGTCCAAAATCGTCCAAAATTTCGTCCAAAATGCAGACTGAAATAGGCACACATAAATCCATACCCTTCAAAAACGTCTGCAGCAATGCTGTAGCCATCTCTCAAGCACTTTGGTAGCTAATGACACCACTTGGCACCTGTCTTGCCAATCTTCCCTCAGCCCATTTTCAACTTCAATAAGAAGCTGGGTTTTTTTAAGTGTTTATGAAAATTTGTAATCAATATAAAACTGCTTTCATAGTAGTTTAGTCCCCTTTCCTTGCTATAATACCTGTCTCAAAGTTATGAATGCTTAAGGAAGATTATTTTGTCCTTGTTCAAATAAAACTCTGGTCAACTTCAGAATTGTTGATATTCATAGCATTAAACCATAGCTGGCATTACATGGCAGTTATACAGCAAGCTCCAGTTCAATTGCAACAATGTAGAGAAATCTATTTATTTGGTATATTACAGTAAACTTACTGAGCCAATTTCATTAGGTGAATGTACAGGAGTACTGCATGAAATCTTCGCCTGGAAGCTGAAATTGGTTGGCGATACTATGGATAGAATGCAGTAGAAATAAATCAGTAACATCTATAATAGCATTACTATGTTTTTTAAGTTGTAGGTATCCCATTATATGTTAATTTAACATACTTTTTGGCCCTGGATCTCTTAACAAATTGTAGAATCACAGAGCTAAAAGAGATTGCCAAGATCATCTATTTCTAGTGCCCACCACAAAGGAACACGTAAAAGCTCTTTGGGGATGGTCACCCAACCTTTCATAAAATCATAGAGTTGGAAGAGACCACAAGGCCATCCAATCCAAACCTCTGGCACACAGGAATGCATATTCAAATTACTCCTGACCGATGTTCATCCAGTCTCCATTTAAAAATTTCCAGAGAAGGAGACATCACCATACCTTTCTTGCCGTTAGGAAGTTTTCCCTAATGTTTAGGTGGAAAACATTCAGCTGGCTTCTCTCAGGAATGCAACGACAGCAAGAGATAGTTGGGAGTGTCTGCGTAATGTTTACCAGACAAAGACTACCGGTATTAAAAGTATTTTGACATGACCACTTTATAAACTGAAGTTTAAAAGGGGTTAAAGTGTATCAGAACAGTTGTAGAAACTAAAGGCGTTTTTTATGGAGTTAGATGACAGTCAGATGACTTTCATGGAGACGCATAAATCATTTATTTTACTTTCTTCTCCAGATGAGACTTGGGATAATGTTGCGTTCACAATGCAGACCGTACCTGAAGCTGATTTAACATTGGACTGTGCCTCTGATATATTATTGGAGCAAAAAAACCTTGTGTAAGTTCAAAAGTGTTCTGCTGAGCAGAGTAAGCCCAATGAAGGAGAGGGGAATAAAGAGTTTGTGCATATTGAAATACTGTGTTAGTATTTGTACTATTACTGTAACTTAAGACAAGCCTTCCAGTTGGAACAAACAGCTTTGTGTCCGAATACTGTATTTGTTCCTGAGAAGACCAGTTCACTGCAATAAGGTGTTTGGCTCCCTAACAGGAGCGAAGAGTCCCTTCTGCTATACAACGGGGGATTTCATGCTGATTTAATCCCTGGCAATATCACACTGACAATTCATATTCAGTTTGTGGTCAACTAAGACTCCTAGTTTCTTTTCACATGTTTCTTTCCACCTATCCTATATCTATACATTTTATTTATTTTTTCTACTAAAGACAGCACCCAGTTCAGTTTTGTTTAAAAGCTGTCAAAGTAGGAGAATCTACAACTTCCAAGTCAAGTGTCTTACAGCTCTTATGCTCAGAAAATTCTTTATGTTTCTAATCTAAGTGGAATCTCTTATTTTGTAAGTCTATATCTGGAGCCTGTTTTGGAAAAAAAAGGAGAGATAAGAAAGAATCTTCCACCAGGCCCGTAGCCAGGATTTCGTTTTGGGGGGGGGGGCTGAATTTTTTTCAAGGGGGGTTCGGGGGGGCTGAGTTTTGGGGGGGGGCTGAGTTTTGGGGGGGGCTGAGTCTGAGTGAAAGAGGGTCTACCCTAGCAAACCTTTTGTATCATTACCCCAATACCCCCATGCATATGGGATATATTGAGTATGGTGATCAGATCATGATATGAATAAACATAACAGTTTAAGTAATGCACCAGTAAGGCCTTTTCGTGAACCACCATGAGAATTTCGGGGGGGGCTGAAGCCCCCCAAGCCCCCCCCCCCCCCCCCCCGGCTACATGCCTGTCTTCCACTACCTTAAGGAGTTTTAAAAGGTGCTTGCTGAAGTGTTCTAAAAAAGAGTTTCTTAAGACTTTTATGCTTGCAACCGCTTTTCACCTGAGAAATTTTTACTGAATTTTTCGAGCAAGATTTTTTTTTTACTGAAAACAAATACAAATTTGCAGGACTAGCTAAGAAAGTTGCTTTTTAATATTGTGAAGCGCAGCTGAACCATTTTCTGCAGAGTTCACTATAAACACTGCATGTTGTTGCTAACAGGTTTGTGTAAATTGTGGTGTTCAGAAACTTGGTACTGTATCCACTTTTATGACCCCAACACAGAACTAAGGGTTTAAGAAGCAATGTTCTAGAAAACTTAGAAATTTAGGTGAGACCATGGTAATGATCCCATGGATATGGGGTTCATTCTGTAACTAGTTTTAAAAAATCTGTTGAAATTACTATACTTAGGGACAAATTATGTAGCGGTTTGCTGGTAGTAACAAAGGTATTATATTTTGTTCATTGAAAACCATAAGGAGTGAGATGTCGCACAGGTTACCATAAGGAGTGAGATGTCGCACAGGTCTTGCTGGCTGAAGTGGTTTACCAATCATTCTTTTTGTTTCCATTTTTTAAAACACTTTGGAATGCCATGCTGTAAAGACAAACAAGCAAAATATACATGTAATAATTACAAAACTCAAAAGTATTAAGAAAAATGTTTTTAAAGTACAGACAGTCCCCAAGTTACAAACATCAGGCTTACAATCAGTAACTTGGGGACTGCTCCAATAAACTATTTCGCAGTTTCTTGTACAACTCATTTTCTGACAGTGTCTCTTCTTTTAAGACACACAGGCATTAAATACAGAGTATAAATGCTTCATGATTAATAATTTTATTAACTTCTTGTTCAAATCAATGTGCATTATTGGTATTGTGTAATTTGTTAATTATATAATGCATCCTCAGGTCCTATAAATTACCAATAATTATCACATAACACCTCTTCCTAAACTATTACTTATTTTATACCCTCATACTGAGATCCAAAGCAGCTCACAGCACAAGACAAAATGAAATATTACTAAAAATCAGTTTATAATAAAAGGAAGTCCCATAAAGTCTCTTTCTTCAAATTCATGCTTGTCCCTGTCGATATGAAGCACTAATTTAAAACAATTTTTAAAAGTTTAAGACATATAAGCAAGAATAATAAGTACAGCATCTCACATTAAAAGGCCTTTATGAAACAACTGTCAACAGTCAAAAGTGAACTTTGGCTGCAGTGGAAAGAGAATAGAAATAGGGCAGCCTAGCCTCCTCTGGGAGGATTTCCTACCTCCAAATCAGACATTAAGAAGGTCTACTCAAGGGACCTCACTAAAAGTGCCTGGAATGGTAATGGACGCCTCCCCCAAAACCATCCCTTGAGGGTCTCAAAATGCAAGCAGATTCGCATAGGGAGTACAGCATTTCAGATATTATCAGCCAAACCCATATAAGCAGCATTTTGAACTGGATCTAGAAACTGACAAGTTGTCAATCAAGAAACAGATCAGCAGCATATATGCCTCAGAAGTCTTGTTACTCACACCTTTTGTTTAGATACAGCCATTGAATTTGACTGTACTTTCTCCAAACCCTTAACAAGACACATTTTTCATGTAATGTAATGGACTCTGTTGTGGGAACTCACTGGATGACCTCAGGCAAGTTTCACTTCTACGCCCTCAGAGGAAAATAGCAAAACCCCACTACATAAATCTTGCCAAGAACATCTTTAAGGTTGCCTTAAGCTGGAAATGATTTGAATACACACAATTTTAACTGTGATTTTTTTAGCACTGTTTGTGTTTAATTCTGTTTCAATGTATATTTTAAATTGTAGATTAACACTTTTATGTCAAGCCACTTTGAGTCCCCTTTGGGCAGATAAAGCAGGGCATAAATAAATATAATAATAAAAGTCATGGAATCAGAGTTGAAAGGGGCATTCTAGTCTATTTCTATATTTATTATGTTTTTGTGTGCCTTCAAGTCAGATTTTTTGTTGTTGTGTACTTTCAAATTGTTTCTGACCAATGGCAACCCTATTACAGGGTTGTTGCTATATGGTTTGGACCTTTAAAGCCCTACATGGTTTGGGTCCAGGTTACCTAAAGGATCACCTTCTCCTATACAACTCGTCCCACACATTTCTGGGGGCATCTTTTCCAACCAGCCAGAACCTGACTGGCAACCACCACCCACAGAACGTTTTCATTGGCCGCCCCAAGGCTGTGGAACAACCTGCTGGTAGAGCTTCGACAGCTAAATCAGCTGTTGGAATTTAAGACAGAAGTGAAGACCTATCTCTTCTGGAAGTACTACCCAGAAAGACTTTAAACATGAATTTTAGTCCATGTCCTTTGTTTAATCTTTGTTTTGTCTGTTTTGATATGTATTTCATAGAGATATGTGTTAGTATGTTAACTTTTATGAAGGTACATTTGTAGTGTTTTTGCTGTGTTTATGTATTTTGTTTTCTAACCCACCTCAAGCCATGAGGAGAGGCGGGTAAGAAATAAAATTATGATTATTTTACTGACACAAAAACACAGTATGTCACAGCAAATGAGATCTATATGCGGGATTTCGTATCACAAAATCACAAGTCGAACACTTCCCAAGCGTCTAGCACTGTGTGATGTATTTTCAAATGATGCGTGTAGATCCAAGTAAGGTGGCCTTTTGCGGTTGACAGGTCGTGATTTTGTCAATGTTCATTGTTTCCAAATGCCGGCTGAGATCTTTTGGCACAGCACTCCGTGTGCCAATTACCACCGGGACAACCTGTACTGGTTTATGCCAGAGCCTTTGCAGTTCAAATTTGAGGTCCTGATAACGGCTGAGTTTTTCCTGTTGCTTTTTCCTCAATGCGACTGTCACCTGGTATGGCAACATCAATAATCCAAACCTTTTTCTTTTCCACAATTGTGATGCCTGGTGTATTGTGTTCCAAAACTTTGTCAGTCTGGATTTGAAAGGCCCACCGTATTTTTGCATGTTCATTTTCCACTACCTTTGCAGGCTTATGATCCCACCGATTCTATTACTGCTAGTAAGTGGTACTTGGGACATAAGTTCCAGTGAATCATTTGGGCCACAGAGTTGTGCCTTTATTTGTAGTCCGTCTGTGCAATTTTCTTGCAATAACTGAGGATATGATCCATGGTTTCATCAGCTTCCTCTGCCTTTTCTAAACCCAGCTTGGACATCTGGCAACTCTCGCTCCATGTATTGCTGGAGTCTTCCTTGCAGGATCTTGAGCATTACCTTACTGGCATGAGAAATAAGGGCCACTGTACGGAAGTTTGAGCAGTCTTTCACATTTCCCTTTTTTGGTATGGGGATATAAGTTGATTTTTTCCAGTCTGATGGCCATTCTTTTGTTTTCCATATTTGCTGGCATATGGCATGCATCACCTTGACAGCATCACCTTTTAAGATTTTAAACAGTTCAGAGATGGTAGCGGGGTACAAATAAAGTTTTTATTATTATCATCATCATCATCATCATCTGCAAGGATGTTGCCCAGCAAACGCCTGGATGATTTACCATTCTGTGGGAGGCTTCTCTCATGTTCCTGCATGAGAAGCTGGAGCTGACAGATGGGAGCTCACTCGGCTCACCGGATTCAAACCACTTTTGGTCAGCAGTCCTGCCAGCACAGGGTTTTAACCCATTGCACCAAAAGGGGTATATAAAGACAATAAATCAATACACCTGGCATGGGCAAACTTGAGCCCTCCAGGTGTTTTGGACTCCAACTCCCACAATTCCCGACAGCCTAACAGCCTCAGGCCCCTTCCTTCCCCCCCCCCCCTCAGCCTCTTAAGGTTAGGGTCCTGAGGCAGTTAGGAATTGTGGGAGTTGGAGTCCAAAACACCTGGAGGACCGAAGTCAGCCCATGCCTGCTCTACACTGTACAAGCGTTTGGTTAAGCAGTGCAACCAATCATAGGAAGACGGTAAATGGAACATAGGAATGGCACAAGGATTATGAGAACGGATCTGATTTCAACTGAGGCGTTATGTTATGTCTGTTTTGTTGTTCTGTCTTGTTGATTGTTAACTGTTGTGGATTGATGCTGTTGATCCTGTTTGTTGCATTGTTACGTTTTAATTGCACTGACACTGTTTGATAATTGTACCATGTAAACCGCATTGAGTCGCCTGTTAAGGGCTGAAAAATGCGGTATAGAAATAAAGCAAAAAATTAAAAAAAAAATAAGTGATGCAGTTTGACATAGCTCAAGGCTATGGAATCCTGGGAGTTGTAGTTTCAAAAGGTTTTTCTCTGCCAGAGTGCTTTAGCAAACTACATCTCCCACAGAAGACCAGCACCCTTCGCTCCCTTCCCCAATATTCAGTAGCAGAAGCCCGCTCACCATTCCCTCATCCTCCGACCCGCAGAGCGCAATGCCTGCTCCCAAGGCTTCACGCCTTCACACCTTCTGCGAAGGAGGGAAACGGATGCAACTGAAGCCGGAAGTCGCTGTGGCCCGAGGCCAACGGTTTCCCTTGGCCGCGTGCTGGGGGCGTGGCCCGGCGGACGTTGACGCGGGCCACAAGCTCGTATCCCCCCGCCCCCCCTCCTCTGCCCATTGTTGTGTTTCTGTGAGGAAAAGGGGAGGAGCTAACGGCACGCGCCGAGGAGCCAATGCGGAAGTAATGTCCCCCCTCCTTTGGACTTCAACTCCCCGAAGCCTCCGCTGACTTGGCTAATGATCAGGGATTCTGGGAGCTGAAGTCCAAAAAGCCTTGGAAGGCCAGCATTGGGGAACTAACAGTGCAGAATGAATGCATTTGACATCACTTTAAATCTCCTGGAATGATCATAGAATCATAGACTCAAAGAGTTGGAAGAGACCTCATGGGCCATCCAGTCCAACCCCATTCTGCCAAGAAGTAGGAATATAGCATTCAAATCACCCCTGACAGATGGCCATCCAGTCTCTGTTTAAAAGCTTCCAAAGAAGGAGCCTCTACCACACTCCAGGGCAGAGAGTTCCACTGCTGAACGGCTCTCACAGTCAGGAAGTTCTTCCTCATGTTCAGATGTTCCCACAGCCAAGTTTTTTGGCTTCAAACTACTTTCTTGTAGTTTGAAGCCATTGTTCCATTGCGTCCTAGTCTCCAGGGAAGCTGAAAACAAGCTTGCTCCCTCCTCCCTGTGGCTTCCTCTCACATATTTATACATGGCTATCATATCTCCTCTCAGCCTTCTCTTCTTCAGGCTAAATATGCCCAGTTCCTTAAGCCACTCCTCATAGGGCTTGTTCTCCAGACCCTTGATCATTTTAGTCGCCCTCCTCTGGACACATTCCAGCTTGAAAGGAGTTGTAAGGTCTTCTTGAGCTCTCTCTGCCTGATTGTGCTCCTGCCTCAACAAATCCTAACTCCCAGTATTGTATAGGAGTGAGTCAGGGCAGTTAAAAGTGGAGTCAAACTGCATTAATTCTTCAGTGTAGACTTAGGAGTTCAAATCCCCAATTTAGCCATGAAAACCCACTTGGGTGTGTCACATTCTCTCAGCCCCAAAGGCAGGCAAAGCCAGTTCACCCCTTCTGGATTAATTTTTTTTTTGAGAAAACTCTGCCATAGATTGGCCATAGAGTTGCCATAAATGATATATAATTAAATAAGAAATACATAATTATTAACTGGTGGTGCAGTGGGTTAAACTGCTGAGCTGCTGAACTTGCCGACCAAAAAGGTTGGCACTTCAAATCTGCAGCGCGGGCGGAGCTCCTGCTCTTAGCCCCAGCTGCCAACCTGCCCATGTAAATGCGAGTTGATCAATAGGTACCGCTTTGGCAGAAAGGTAACAGCGCACCATGCAGTCATGCCGGCCACATGACCTTGGAGGTGTCTACGGACAACGCCGGCTCTTTGGCTTAGAAATGGAGATTAGCACCAACCTCCAGAGTCAGACACAACTAGACTTAATGTCAAGGGGAAACCCTTACTATAAATAAAGCCCTAGAAGACACATAACAATGACAATAGTAAATAGAATGAAATGATCCTGAGCAAAACTATGATAGCTGGGACCCTATGCTATGCTATTTGCGCAACACGGGTCAGCATCAATGAAGGGAAGACATGTGCGAGACTGAGGAGTGAGTGAGGTATGCAGGTGTGACAGAGTCGTGGCAAGATAGTTCGCCAGAAAAGGGGGGGGGGGAGGACAACAAACAGCCAGGCATAGTCACAGGCGCGATTGGTAGGGACAAGAGACAGGGCCTTCTCGGTGATTGCTCCTAGGCTATGGAATTCCCTTCCTGGTGAGATCAGGTCGGCCCCCTCTCTCCTGTCCTTTGGAAGGATGGTAAAAACTTGGCTGTGGGACCAAGCTTTCAGGACAGGGTAATAAAGCAGCAATATGAAAGATGACCAGGCCAAATAGATTTGACGCTGATGACTAGGATGGTTTTAAATGCTGTATTTTAATATTAAGATTAATGTTTTTAATGTTTATGTATGTGTATATGAATTTGTGTCCTGGCATTGAATCTTTGCCGTACATATGCTGTGCTTCGCCCTGAGTCCCCTTCAGGGTGAGAAGGGCGGAATATAAATGTTTTAAATAAATAAATAAATAATGCTTAAGGCAAGTGAAGTAATGTTAGAGTTATTTACTGTTAAATGATAAACAACAGCTTACGAAGATGGTAAACTGGATAGAAATGTTTCCTCTCCCCCTTTCTGGGAGAACAATGTTCCCACGACTCTGACGCAGCTGCGTCTCTCAGTCGCTGCGCTGTTGCACGTGTTCCTCTCATTAATTCAGACTCGCGTTGCACAACGGGCATAAAGTCCCAGTTATCATACTTTTGCCTGAATCTGTATGTCATAGCTTCCCAACTTATCGTGTTGGTAACATACTTTTTAGGCATGCAATATATTACAATACAGCCATTCAGTTTTACTAGCAACCCAGGAGTCAATCAACCAAGTACATACCAAAGTGAGAGTCAAGAGTCAGGAGTCAAACTGAAGTCCAAGTCCATAAATCAAAGCCAGGAAGTTAGTCCAGAATTCAGAGTCAGGGTTTCAGAATACAACAGGATCTATGATTCTAACCCCAGGGAACTTCTTCCTTGGAGGCTTTTAAACAGAGGCTGGATGGCTATCTGTCAGGGATGCTTTTCATTGTGCTTTTCCTGCATGGCAGGGGGTTGGACTACCTGGCCCATGTGGTCTCTTCCAATTCTATGAAAGAGTACAAAGGTTTTATAGTCCCTGCTACCCAATAGCTATCGCTTACAGATCCCTTTTTATCATGAGATCTCAGCTGCTGTTCATTTCAGCAAGCCTGTACAGATAATGGCAGAAGCCTGTGATGCTTTCCTCAAGGAGGAGGTCAGGTTAACTCTTTCCAAGCTTGCTGCAACACTGAGAAGAATCCTTCTCTACTGGAGACCTGTCCCAAGTCTAGCAGCCTTTCCTCCTGACATCTCCTGCATCTGTGGCTGGTATGTTCAGAGGATCCAATGGTGGTAAAACAAGTGGAGTACATATGCCTGTGGAGTGTTCAAGGTGGGAGAAAGAACCAATATCTGCTAACTCATTACCTGGTTAGATTAGGCAGGCCCCCACCTTAGCAACCTTCAAGGAAAAATTGAAAAATGGCTCTTCCGATGTGCCTTTGGAGAGTGACCATTTATCCCATTTCTGCTTGCTCCATCTATAGGGTTGCCCCTATGATGCACTTTCCCCCGTCCGAAACTGAATGCCTACCCCACTGTTTATTCTTTTTGGCTTCCCCTCAATTACACATTTTCATTCCTACCTCATCCAGGGTTTTATCATTTTACTTTGTCCATTTGGCCTGCCCATTCCGTTCAATTTTATATTGTATTAATTTGTTTTATTTATCTTATTTTGTTATTGTACGTATTTTATTTTGATGTAATTTTTTGTTGTCTGCATTCTGTATTTTATTTTGTTGTATTGTATCTTTGGGCTTGGCCTCATGTTAGCCACCCTGAGTCCCCTTTGGGGAGATGGTGGTGGGGTATAAATAAAGATTATTATTATTATTATTATTATTATTATTATTATTATTATTATTATTATTAGTTGCCCTCCTCTGGGCACATTCCAGCTTGTCAACATCTCCCTTCAATTGCAGCTCCCAGAAATGGACACAGTATTCCAAGTGTGGTCTGTTCAAGAAAGAATAGAGGAGTAGCATGACTTCCCTGGATCTAGACACTAGACTCCTATTTATGCAGGCCAAAATACCATTGGATTTTTTAGCTGCAGCCTCATATTGTTGGTTCATGTTTAACTTGTTGTCCATGAAGACTCCAAGATCTTTTTCACATGTACTGTACTGCTGTCGAGCCAGGCGTCCCCCATTCTGTATTTTTGCCTTTCATTTTTTCTACCTAAGTAGAGTATCTAAGTTGATGATTGGATTCTTTATGTGGCTCCCATTCCCAAAAAGTCAGAAATTTTCCAAATTAAATAGAAATTAGATAGAAATGTTAGCTCCAGTTCTCTTTCACAGACCAGGACATCTGCCTAGGCAGCCTTCACTGTTGATTTTGAATCAATCAGTAAAAGCATTCAGCCCACAACAGTGAAATTCGGAGATATTATCCAATAAGAGACTACAAATGAGTTTTGAATAATAATCTTTATTAGTGTCTTTTAAAAGGTACATGGTAATCCTGAGCTACTGCTTTTGTACATTTAACAATATACAAAGACTTCCATTTACAGTTTGAAGGATACATTTATTGTGCTCCAAATCCTCATCCAAGCATTACTTTCCCCCTAAACAGGAATATAGATAATTGAAAATATTATACACAATCCTGAAACATTCACATCTACCTTCTCGACCCCCATTACCTAAGTAAGGACTACTGTAATCTAGAGAGCTCAGGTTATTCTTTGAGAATTTAGAAAAACATTATATGTAAAGTTTCAAAGATGGGCAGTGCAATAACTGGTCCCCATAATCTATCTGCAAACAGCCCTCGAGAAAACGTCTTTCGTATCTGTATCACACAACTACTTGGAACTGTATTGACCAGCTATACATTGTTTAAATGATCAGAGTAACAATTTACTCCATTTCATATCAGTGTAAAGCTATAATGCCTCCCTTTGCATTGACTGGAGAATTATTCTCCTATCATGGAAAACTGACCATGATCCAAACACACAAAAAGGTAACCCAATATCACCTGATAATCATCTAAATTTATAAAAACGAGTCATTATCAAATGCGTCCCTTACTTAGACCCTGTAAAGGAACTCATACACATCATGGAGATAAGTTCCATAAATCCAGTGATGGCTTTACCTGTAAAAACATTATTTAAAAATTAAGTACTAGGGTCCTTGAGGGGGGAAAAATAAAATAAAATAAAATACCCAAGTTGAATTTCAGTAATAGATAAATGAACTTTCATCTTCAGCTGGACTATCAAAATATTGCATTGCTCAACCTGGAAATCTGATAGCATACAGTGTTTACAATAATGTCTTCCAAGCAAAAGCTCCACTTTTCAAAAATGATGCACACTTGGTAATGTCACTCTGGTTTTAGGTAAAAGTTACATTGAGCAGTCAAGCAGAGGCTTAGCTTATTGCTTATGATTTTAAAGCAAGCCATTCTGACATTGTTTCTGGAAGTGTACATACAAATGTGAAGCAATTGTAGAAACACCAATAAACACTTCTTGCTTTTGCATACTCATCCCCAAATGGCACAGACCAAGGCGTATTACGGAAAAAGAAGACTGTATGTCAGAGTTGAATGCAACAGTACTTTTTTAAGACAGATGTGTCATGATGTAAACAAAGCTTTAGTATTCAAAGCTTGGGAATCTAGCAGCAAAACAAACTATTTGCATATAATGTAGTGCAACGAACATTTGTTCTAAGGATCCCCAGCCTTAAAAATTATTTGTAACAGAATGGAAACATTAAAAGGAGGGAAAAAAGTTTTAAATTAGTCATCATCAGCAGGCTCTCTAAGAAAGCTCTGATTTTGATAAAATACCATGAGGTGTCTATGCAAAACTGTGCTCTGGATAACTGACTTTTATGGCTCCCCAGTAGCAGGCTCGAACTAGACAGACCAAGCCTAAGAGGTAGGCAACAGCCCAAGAGACGTATGTGGCGTGATAGGTTCTCGCAAAATCCTGCGTACCAACCTGTTAAACAAACAAAAACAGAAAAAAAATGAAATAATGTCCTTGTGATTATGTCTTTAAGGTAAAATAGTAACAATTTTAAAAAATTAAGTGAAAAGTGCTTCCAAAAACAATCAACCCAATTTGAACTTGAAAAAGCTTTGATATTAGGTCCACCTATTGGAACCACCATTCAAAAAGCGAGAATCAGACTTTTAATTGTTACTGGAGACTGTAATTGTTTTCAGTTTTCTCTGCACAAACTCATTTACGACAGACAGTGTTGTGTTAATCTCACATCTGCAAATAGCAATAGAAATTGCATTACTCCCAGGAATTGTCATTTCAAAAGGGACCAAAGAAGAAAATTGAGATATTTGGAGGGTAAAAATTGAAATGTAAAATCCTGTGAATTTAACACCAAATTGTTTATGTATGTATGTATGATTTAAATTTGGGATTTTTGTAATAAAAAATAGGAGGGTTGTTAGAAATATTAAAAGTTAACTAAGTATTTTTGATTACAAAAATGTGAGTCAAGTACTGAAAGAGTTAGTAGACTGAAGCCTGTTAGAGCCAGTGGGCCAAAGCTAGTGTTGTCCTGAGGAGAGTGAGTAGGCTGAAGCCTGTTAGAATTAGTGGCCCAAAGCTAGTGTCAGCCTGTGGAGTGTGAGGTAAACCTCTGTGTGAGAGAAGCCTCATGTGAGAAAGCTCCAGTGTGAAGGCTGCTGTGCGTAAAGGTTCTGGGTCATGCTGCTGATAAGTTACTCTGCTGTACATTTATGAGGAGGGTCTTTTGTTAATAAGCTCACTCACCCACACAGTATGGGGTTCTGGGTGCAATGGATGTGTGTTGGAATAGTTGCGTGTTTCATGTTTGGTGGGCTTTTAACATGGTTTGGGGGGGATGAACATAACCTGAAAATAATCCATTTTAAAAGGGGATGTTTGATGGGCTTTTGGAGATTTGTGGGGTCCAGGGACTACACACTATGCCCACTTTCTTATCTAAACTATATACAGTACAATGTCGGCAGATGCACATGTTTGAATGGCTGTGTGCTCGCTGGTCTATGGAGTGGAGATGCTGAATCTGCCACTGGGACCTTCAATGCTGGTCTAATGTGGGAAAGCACTTGGAATAGAGGTGGCTATTTTGAGAAAAATAATCTCAATCTTATTGTCCATGCTTTTATTTTAATTGCTTATATTGTTGTTATTATTATGTATTGTTGTATTGGGCTCGGCTTCATGTAAGCCGCACCGAGTCCCTTGGGGAGATGGTAGCGGGGTACAAATAAAGTGTTATTATTATTATTATTATTATTATTATTATTAATGCACACAAAACTGTGGTCAAAGTAGAGTTGTCTCAAGCAGACCCCCTTTGACCAAATATAGATTTGGCTGCATTAAAGAACCCTTATCATTGATGACAGATGTAGGCCTAACTGTGTCTCAAAAACAGTCTCAATTTAAAAGAGATATTTATTTAAAAAGACAGAATATCAAACTGCATACTTTCATTATCAGGTCTAAGGCTTTGTCAGCAAGTGCACAACTTAGAAAGGTTTACATTTTTCACATGTCTGTGTTTTTTGGTCATCGGTTACATTTTCCAGCTTTTACATTAATTGACACACTTTCGTTACCAGGTCTAAGGCTTTGTCAGCAAATGAACAACTTAGAATGGTTTACATTTTTCACATGTCTGTGTTTTTTGGTCTTTCATTACACTTCCTGGCTTTTACATTAATTGATTGCTTAATCAAAACATTATGTTCTATCCTTTCTCAGCTCCATCCTTCCTGGTTCTCCTCTCCTTATCTTGCCAGGTCCAAGGCAAACATTTCTTGGATGTTTTCTCACTCACTCTACCTCTCATCTATTAACAAGCCTGCCATGCAATTAATACGTTGCAGTAGGCTCACCTAACATTTGAGGGTCTGCCTCCAGGGACAAACCAAGAATGGGCCACTTGGAAGTCCCTGAACAAACTCAGACATGGTGTTGGGAGATCAAAAGATAACCTGGTAAAATGGCAGTACCTAGAAGAATCTTCTGACTGTGGAGCAGAACAAACAAATCCTAATCTGTATGTTTGCCCACCATGCCCTGCCTCATGCACAGATGAAGAATTGTTTAAAGCTACAGACAATGCTGTTGCTGTTGCCCATTTTTGGTCTAAATTTATTTAATCGCTTGTATTCCCTCTATTTTATCAGTTTTATACTTGTTTATTTATTCAATGCTTTTGACGCGAAATAAATAAATAATCTAATATTCTGATTACATCTTGATCAATCACATCTAACACAGACCAGGTATACCATACATATCCCTTTTATGGCAGGACCTCCATGAGGACCTCCATGAGGACACTGACCATTGAGGTAGGAGCTGATTTACCATTTTTCTTTTTAGATTGGCTCCATGTTTCTACAGGACATTTTAAATGTCCTGAAATTTATTTATTTATTTATTTACTTCGAGATTTTATATACCGACCCTCTCACCTTCAAAGAGGGATTCGGACCGGTTCACAACATGTGTTAACATACAAAAAATATACAATAACAACACAATGCCACTTCATTACACGATTAAAATATCAGCACCATACACATTAAAACATTATCATCACAGTTAAAAGAGCCAAATCGTCCAACACCATCACAAATGCAGACATAAGGCTTCAAATGGCATTGAGAAAAGTCAGGAGAGAATGTTGGCGAAACATCAGGAGAGAATGCTTCTCGAACATGGCCATAGAGCCCGGAAAACTCACAGCAACCCAGACATTGAGACAGTTTCTTACAGATGAAAAAGCAGAAAATTCCACATTTTTGACCACATACTAACTGCTGAAACCACTAGCTCTGCTGAGGAATCAGAATGAAATTAAATGTATTCTACTCACAGTTAATCCAACTCCAATGAAGACAAATATCATTCCAATAGTAATATATGCACAACACCGTCTTCGAGGGAGCGCACATCCGACAGAAGAACTACAACAGGAGGGCAAATGGGGGCCAGAATGAAAAACAATGCTCAATGATTTTGAAGATTCATTAAGTGTCACATAATACATAGCAACAAATTCTATGATCAGCTTTTATTTCAAAGTTATATTGCTTTCTGTGAACACTAATGAATAGCCAGATTTTTAGTTCTTGATATTGCAATATAATTCACAGCAGCGTAAACAAACCAGTAGGCAGTCATGTGCTTGGCCAGAAACTTCAGAGCTCAAAAATCAGCAAAAAGCACAGAAAAATCCCTCATGCCTAGCGTGTGATTAGATGTTTTTTAAAAAAAGATTCTTGCTGGAAAGCTTTCAATTTGATTGGTTTAAGCAGCTTTACTACAAAAAAAGAATTTCCTGGTTTGTAAATCAAAAAATGACATTCTCTGGGTGCTGATTATTGAGACTTTCAATTCAAAGCTTGCAACTTCCCACCAATCCAAACCTAACTAAAATAAATCAAACTTCTGTTCATAATGCTATGTGCACATTCTGAAATTATTTTGAGCACCACCTTTGTTTTGTTTTGTACATGAAGGCTACTTTTCTCTAGGGAAAAATGAATTTGATACTTTGAAGGAATTAATGCTGTGATTTTTGTTCCCAATTCCCATTTCAAAACACAATAACTTTGCCATGCTAAGGCCAAGTGAAATCTGGCAGAACTTAAAAGAATGAGATACAGTGGGCCCACTGGGAATCCACGTGGATACTGAAAACCATGGATGCTCATGTCTCATTATATACGATAGTATGGTAAATTGGCATGACTAATATAAAATGGCAAAGAACAAATGCTGGAGAGAGCCTGGGGATCTGATACCAACATACCATTCGTAGCAAATTCAAGATTTGTTTTTATTTTTTTTCCAAGTATTTTTGAATCATGGGCATCACATTAGGAAAGACTTCATTTCTGAGACAGATTGAGGACGATTTCCAATGAGTCTGATCACATGACGTTTATCCTATCCCGTCAGTAATCCCTTGAAATCCGTCTGCAAAATGTCGCAGAGACGGAGTATTTCTATACTATATTCTAATCGTAGTATTTGAAAAACTACACGTTTTCTGTCACAGAAGCACTATTTTTGCGTGTGATTGGGAAGTATGCATTTCGTTAGTAGCAATACAACTTGTCACCAGGGGGCATGTCTGGTGGCCAGAGTATTTTGCTGTACCGGTTTGGGCACTCTGTCTCTAAAAGATTCACTATCACTGCCCTATAACAATGTCAAATTTTCCCAAGTATATATTCCTACAGTTTCCCCTGGATCTTTAGCTCAGAAGACTCCTTCTCCTAGTGAAAGACTGGATTTTTAGAGTTGAGTCTATCATAGTGTTATTATTCTATAAGAAATACTTCATGGTGGAGTTATATCCAAAGAGTCAGTTAGGGGATACTCAAACTGTATTATTGTTTGAAATTCTTGACATAACAAAGATCATGCAACTCCTGGAACAATTCCATCAACGCTGCCTCTGGAAAATCCTGCAAATCTCTTGGGAAGACAAGCAGACAAATGTCAGCGTGCTGGAAGAAGCAAAGACCACCAGCATTGAAGTGATGGTCCTCCGCCATCAACTCTGCTGGACTGGCCACGTTGTCCAGATGCTCGACCACCGTCTCCCAAAGCAGTTGCTCTACTCCAAACTCAAGAATGGAAAAGGGAATGTTGATGGGCAGGGAAAGAGATTTAAAGATGGGCTCAAAGCCAACCTTAAAAACTCTAGCATAGACACTGAGAACTGGGAAGCCCTGGCCCTTGAGTGCTCCAGCTGGAGGTCAGCTGTGACCAGCAGTGCTGTAGAATTTGAAGAGGCACGAATGGAGGGTGAAAGAGAGAAACATGCCAAGAGGAAGGGACCGCCAACCGGGACCGCCTTCCACATGGAAACAAATGCCCTCAATGCGGAAGAAGATGTAGATCAAGAATAGGGCTCCACAGTCACCTACGGACCCACTGCCACTACACTGATCTTGGAAGACTATCCTACTCGGACAACAAGGGATCACCTAAGTAAGTAAATAAGTAAGTAAGTAAAGTACATCATGAGATCTCTTGGAGATGTGACCTAAACCCAAACATGAAATTCATGTATGTTTCAACTATAGCATTTAATCTAATGTGAAGATAACTTTATGCACAATATGTTTAATAATTTTGTGCATGAAGCAAAGTTTGTGTACACTGAAGCACTGGAGAGCAAAAATGCCACTTTATCTGGACAATTCTAGGTTTTGGAATATCTTGGATTTCATAATTACAGATAAAATACTCAGCCTGGACGGTACGCCATGCAGTCATGCTGGCCACATTACCTAGGAGGTGTCTACAGACAACGCCGGCTCTTTGGCTTAGAAATGGAGATGTACACCATCCCCCAGAGTTGGACATGACTGGGCTTAATATCAGGGGAAACCTTTACCTTTATCGAAACGACCATCACAAAAGTATTAATTAAACAGGACAATGAGCATAGTATTAAATATTTCAGTTCATGGCACTGAAAAAGTCGTAATTTATATGTCAATCAATGCACGGCTTGATCTTCCATATCCTTGTCAAAACCCTTCACTTCTAAGATAAATTTTCCTGTTCAGTATGCTGGAAATCAGCATCCATTAATGTTAACAACTGCATCTCCATGGAGAGCTTCATCCCTCAGATAATGACCATCCAAGCATTTATAATCAAGCAAGAATGTTCAATAGCTCTTAACTCAGAAAAAAATTATAAATGGTAAGAGAAGTGTCAGCTGACATTGATTATCAATACTCTGAGATTTTAAAAAATAGCCCCAAATGAAGGCTAATATTTAAAATAACATAAATGTGTGATAAGTTGAACTTACATTTTTTTGCAATGTGGGCACTTTGCCAGAGTGTTGAACCTCAGTTCCATCCACTGCAATAAAAAATAAAGGGGTTAGGGGGAGAGCGTTGAAAATTGCCAAAGTTATTTTGCTTTATGATAAATGTCACAGAGGATCACGGGATATTTTATTTCTCACGTTTCTCTCAGATTTTGTCTCATGCTTTCTTCCGTCACTGGGATGCCCGAATGCCCTTTTACCAGGAAACGCCCTTGCACCCTTGGGATTTCAGTTCAAAACCATTTCCCATGACTTACTAGTTGCAAGGCTGTCTGACGCACTTCTGTTTACAAATATCAGCAATAGTTTCATTAATAAAGTAATTATACCTTATATGGAACTATGGACATTCAATAACTATGACTACAGTATCAGTATTTCTGGGAAGTTCTCTATGGCGCAGTTAGCCTCTCCCTTGTCCTCTATTTTTTACATGAGGTTTACAAATATTTTCCCACTAAATAATGTCATCGTTGCTTCTTTTTTTTCTTGTCCTTTCGGTGGGCAGGTTAAGATCTTTCTCAGTAAAACTTTGGAAACTGTATTGTCGAAGGCTTTCACCAAGTTGTTGTGTGTTTTCCGAGCTGTATGGCCATGTTCCAGAAGCATTCTCTCCTTACATTTCGCCCACATCTAAGGCAGGCATCTTCAGAGGTTGTGAGGTCTCAACACATCTCCCTCTACGTCCCACCTCGGAATCTGACATTATCTGGGGAGGCCCTGCTCTCGACCCCACCTCTATCACAAGTGAGGCTGGTGGGAACGAGGAGCAGGGCCTTCTCGGTGGTGGCCCCTCACCTGTGGAACTCGCTCCCTGGGGAAATCAGATCAGCAACATCCTTCCTCTCCTTTAGATGGAAATTAAAAATGTGGTTATGGGACCAGGCCTTCGGGCAACCTGGCAGTTAAGGACAATGGACGACTAGAATTAACAGGACTGACAACGTGGAATGGAAACTATGGACTATGAGATGGCGAATGCTGAATATTAAACTGGTTTATTGACGTGTTGTGAAACTGAGAACTGACCGTTTAATTGTTTTTAACTGTTTAATTGCTGCTATACTGTTTTATTGTATTGTTGTATTGTATTGTTGTATTAATGCCGACATCGAATTGTGCCTTTGTAAGCCGCTCTGAGTCCCCCCCGGGGTGAGAAGGGCGGGGTAGAAGTGTCTGAAATAATAATAAAATAATAGTCCAATTAAAAGTGAGATTTTAATTGGTTTCATTCTGGGGTTATTTAAAACTGTTTTGATCTTAATTTTGTCTGTTTTTAACAATATCTGCTCTATTGTATTCTCAGGCTTTTTGAGGGGGCCATGGAAATGCAGCGGGTTAAACTGCTAAGCTGCAGAACTTGCTGACTGGAAGGTCAATGGTTCAAATCTGCAGGACAGAGTGAGCTCCCATTGTTAGCCCCAGCTTCTGCCATCATAGCAGTTCAAAAACGTGCAAATGTGAGTAGATCAATAGGTACCGCTTTGGCGGGAAGATAATGGCACTCCATACAGTCATGACCCTGGAGGTGTTTACGGACAATGCCGGCTCTTCAGCTTAGAAATGGAGATGAGCACCCCCCGCCCCGGATTGGACACTGCTAGACGTAAACTCAAGGGGAAACCTTTACCTTTACTATCAGTAAAGTGATGGATGGATCATAATTTCTTAAAAATTGAGAAGCACAGGGAAGAAAATGTAATGAGAAAAATCATTACTATCTAATGGGAATAGGAATAGAATTCACAATATTGTTATACACTTACATTTTGAAGTTGACTTGAAGATTATTGGTTCATTGAGTTACAGTGGTACAATGTCAAGGGTCATGACAATCTTGACACCATTTCTGGCCTTTTTGAATGCCCAGGCCAGAAAAAGGGTGACTCCTTGAGATAGTATTGACACTTTCCCATCTCTGGGGAGTGACCCAACTTTCTACTTCATCACACTGGAGAATGAATCTACTTTAAATCCAGTTTCTCCCTCCTGCAGAATTCTGGTCTTTGTAGTTTAATGGGGCTGTTAAAGGTTCCTCCCTAAAGTACAAACCCCAGAATTCTGCAGGAGACAGAAACCAGATTTTTAGTGGATTCATTCTCTAGTATGATGAGGTCTTTATCCATGGATTGCATCAAAATCCATAACTTTGGCCCTAATACCTGCCCACAGCTTATACATGAGGTTGACTTATACACGAGTATATACAGTACTTATTAAACTTTGGGATTTTCTCAAATCTACTAATGTGTCCCTTTAATGCAGTGGTTCTCAGCCTGTGGGTCCCCAGCTGTTTTGGCCTACAACTCTCAGAAATCCCAGCCAGTTTGCCAGCTGTTAGGATTTCTGGGAGTTGAATGCCAAAACATCTGGGGACTCACAGGTTGAGAACCACTGCTTTAATGCATGAATGGTGCAATGCTCAGGCTACACAGGAACATTGAGAATTAGTTTACTATCAAATATAAACAACACTGCAAAATAAATGTCAAAGGTAGATTGAGTGACAAACGAACACTCCTCATGCAAGTAACACCTTGGGAAAGGCTGTTTTTGTTAGGAATTAATATGGGGAGAAAAGGCATTGGGTTCTTCCTATAATGCAGTCCAGACCTCTGCCTCATGCACACATATTCAGACTAACACAATGCAAGCCACATATTTAACATGACATGTACTTTGGGATTGAGGAGAGTTATTGTGATAGGAAGGACGACAAACGATCAAAGCAAAGGGATTGACAGGGTAGCATGTCTGGACAGCATGTGAGCAACATGTTGAGCATTATGGTGCATTCTCCAAAGATCTTCTCCAAAACCCTATTGATTCAAAGCAAACACTGAAGGAATGTGCACAGTGCGGTTAATACAGAACACTAGCATACCCAGGCAGCCATGTTGTTGTAAAACAAAAGCCTTCCTTCAAGAATGGAGAGTTATCACAAGAAAAGCCTGAATATCAAAAGATCCACAACAACAAATTTCAGCAAAGCTGGAGTTCAATTTATCAATCTTGCAATTTACAATAAATCAAAAACATTACTGGTTGCTTTTGATGCAAGAAATGAATTTTATTTCAAACTTTTTCTTCAGGATTTAGAGACTCACAGAGACAAGGAGACCTACACTATATCTAAGAGTTTCTTGTTTTGAACTGGTATATGAATAAAGTAAATAAGTCTTTTATTTACTTTATTCATATACCAGTGCCGGTCTCCTGTAGTTTTTTCATTGATAACTCTACAAGTATCCCTTTTAATTACTTTTCCCTTTAAAACAGTTCTTAAATAATGTAACACAGTAATAAAATAAATAAACGATGTCTGGACTTTGAAGATGTAATAAAGAAATAAGAAAAAGGCCGTCAATGCCTAATATCAGCTTTCTATGTCTCTGTTCTCAAACTGAAAAAGTTTATTTTCTGTGGTGCTTTAAATAGGATAGAATGCCATTCTGCATCTTTTCAGCTGACCAAAACTCCTGTTTTTCCTCCAGTGGGTATAAAACTATTCCCTGGAGCAAAGAGCATCAGCATTGTGAAAAGCAGAGCTGTTTCTGGAGCTCTGAGAGCAGGAGCTTGTAAAGGCAGCTCTTACATCCCTCATCTGTAAACGATGCTGTACTAAAGTTTCAGAGGAGACAGACTGAAGAATTAATGGATTTTGACACCACTTTAACAACCATGACTCAATTCTATGGAATAATGGGAGTTGTAATAGAGTCTCTTGTACGAGCTATACCCTCTTCTCATTACCTCTGTCATTCATCCCGCTGAAAATAATACGTTCCACTATTATTCACGGTTTCATGTATCCATGTGAAAATCTGTGGATATCCCCTGTGCATACCGATGTGGCACTGTATTAATAGGAGCCCCCGGTGGTGCAGTGGGTTAAACCACTAAGCTGCTGAACTTGCTGACCAAAAGGTCAGCAGTTCAAATTCAGGGAACAGGCTGAGCTCCCGCTGTTAGTCCCAGCTTCCGCCAACCTAGCAGTTGGAAAACATGCAAATGTGAGTAGTTCAATAGGTACCACTTTGGTGGGAAGGTAACGGCGCTCCATGCAGTCATGCCGGCCACATGACCTTGGAGGCGTCTATGGACAATGCCGGCTCTTTGGCTTAGAAATTGAGATGAGCACCACTTCTCCAGAGTTAGACACCACTAGACTTAATGTCAGGGGAAAGCTGTACCTTTTTACTGTATTAATGATTTGATCGAACTATTGAAATAATCTAAGTGGGCACTCAGAGCAATGAATATCTACTCTACATTACTAAAAATCTGTTTGTCTGAATATGTGGTACAAGTTGTAAAGCCAGAATATTGTACAAAAGAAGATTTGGTCTCCAAACCCACTCTCAAGTTATACATGAGGACCATTTATGCACAAACATATACAATCATTGGAAATTATGCCTCTCACTTCCTATCACTCAGACTTTTCATTCCCCTGAAATTCCTCTCTGAATTATATTCCACAAATATCAGCATAAACCTAACTGATGTTATCAGAGACAAAAGATGTGGTGTGATTAGGGCCCCTTCCACACAACTGTATAAAATCCACATTGAACTGTTTTATATGGCAGTGTGGACTCAGATAATCCAGTCCAAAGCAGACATTGTGGATTATCTGCCTTGATATTCTGGCTGATGCCTCTCACATCCTATTGATATTATATGGCTGCATAGAAGGATCCTAAGACATGTTTTCCTTATTTATCATAGAAATCTGGGAAGCTGGTTCTCAGTTGATCCTGACACTGTCTGTTCTGACTGGAAGCAGATGGGACAGAGGTCTTTTACACCATCTGCTGCATCATCCTTTTAACAGAAGAAGTCATAGACTGAACTTGGAGACCTTTTACGGGTGAAGTGCATAGCCTCCAGCAAGAAATTCCCCTCGTCCTCTCAATCACAGAATAACTTATACCAAAAACCATATTCTTAGAGAAAAAGTTTATATTTTATTAAAGATCCAAATCTATGTAAAAAAAAATGAATCTGACAATAAAAGAAAAGACAGTCAAATATGTCATTTTAAGGGTGTTTAAAGCTGATGTTTCGTTTCTTTTGAATAAGGTATCAATCAGGGGGAAGTGTGGTCCGTTGTGTAGAGTGTAATGAATGCACTTACTAGGAATGTGTTTCCACAATGTCCGCACACCACTCTAGTGCCTTCTGGCTGGACGGGTATCGCAGGCTGTGCTGGCTGCTCCTCTGGGATCAGCATAACAGGACCAAGATTAATGATGCGTCTACTGTAGGTAGAGAAGTGAACACATACTATTCAATACAGCATAGGAAAGTTTGTTTCATAGCCAATAGCTTGTTCCAATTTCCTCTAGCTAAACTGGGATGACTCCAACATCAAATCCCAAAGCAACACTATAAAATACAGAAGAGAGAATTCTGTGTATTTCAAACATTTGCATGAACAAAACCAATGCAAGCTGTTTTAACACTAGGAGTAGTTAGTAAGATAGAAGTAAATGTAAATCAGTGGTTCCCAACCTATGGTCCGTGGACCACCAGTGGTCCACAAGAACAAAAATATGGTCCGCAGCCTCACCATTACTACACCATTGTCTCAAAACCACGTGGCAATGAGAGCAACTCGTCTCACGAAACCTTCTAATAGTGCCGAGGCAATGGGGATGTTGGGAGGGGAGAGGCTGACTACTCACGAAAGATTACCACTACCACATCAGCTCCAGATTATTACTACACTGTTGCAACGAGAGTGACAAGTCTCGTGAAACCCTCTTATAGTACCATCACTTATTAAATATGGTTTTCTGTGGGTGAGCAGATGATTACTACTGGGTGGTATATGTTCTGTATCAGAAACTAGAGCTGATGTGGTCTATCCAATGCAATTTTCTGAATCAGCAGCACAAATCACCAAACCAAATCTAAAGTTGACCAAAAACTGATTAGTAATTCTTTTTGGTACTAATGTTGGAAAGTGATCCCTGGTCAAAGTGGTCCTTGGTCAAAAAAAGGCTGGGAACTACTGATGTAAATGGACTAATTTTGTCTCTCCTGGGCACATCCTATTATGATATATATTTTTCTCCTTTTTATGTACTGCATCAAGTATATAAAAGGGTCAACTGATCTGCAGCTTTGAACACATCAAGAAATAATCCCCATTTGTACAATGGGCATTATTTTCTATTAAACATGCAATACCAATGTCTTCCTCTTGGGCTGAGAGAGTGTGACTTGCCCAAGGTCACCAAGTGGGTTCATGGCCAATAGGAGATTTGTACTTTGGTCCAATACGAGTTACAGTCCAACACTCAACCGTTATACCATGCCGGTTCTCGTAATTATCAACCCTTATAATTAATTCAGTCATAGAAAATGTGAGTAAATGTTTTTATTATTCAAGACTGTTAATTGTGTTTTGCTTCAACAGGCTAACACTATTTGAAACATTAAAGAGATAAATGGACAAACAAGCCTTCTTCAATTATTTAGTTATGCCATTCTTATCACCATAGCTGGACAAATGTTTGTCAGAAAACAATGACAAAAAGACACACAAACTGTAACTTTTCTTACCAATTAGGCCTTGGACATCCTATTCTCCGTGATGTATCCTTACAGATAAGCAGACAATTACACGGACATCTAACATACTTTTTCCCTGAAGGAGGGTTTTTGATTGGCTACATAAAACAAGAAAAAAGAAATGACATGTAGTGAACTGACTGTCAAAAGAAGCAGGTGGAAATAAATACAGTGATTCAAATACGGCAACAGAAATAATACAAATCTTTGTAGAAGACCACATAGTTTTTCCTGGCAGTTATTACTCCTGACATGTTGTCATTATAAGCAATTTAATATATGTTTGCATCACCATCCCTTTGTTTCAGTGCTTCATTGTTTTCCCCCTCTCCATTGGTTTTCATATGTTTTTATATGGTGACTTAATACTGCCAGAGTGAAAAACAGAGAGGGCTAATCTCTCTTTAATGTTTGCATAGAAGAGCAGATTTTGGCAGGTGTTATTTGTCATGGAGCCAGGTAATAAGCAACACTTGCTGAAATGTCCTCTTTTAAGCAAGTGTTAAAGTGACAGACCTATCTCCAGTTTTAATTCTCACTACTCTGGCTAGTGCCTCTATAGAAGATTGCCAATGAATATCTGGTGCTGTAGGTTATATTTCAAAGGAAGGAACTTGCAAAATCATCTGTGGCTATTCCTCACTTTTTAAAAAAAAAAACTAAGAAATTCATGGAGTCGTGATAAGTAGACTGGTGACATGAAGGCACATACATATTGACCTACATACTAAAGTGCAAAGCATGGATTCCTTGGTTCTCAACTTTTGGGTCCCCAGATGTTTTGGCCTTCAACTCCAGAAATCTTAACAGCTGGTAAAATGGCTGAGATTTCAGGGATTTGTAGGCCAAAATACCTGGCGACCCACAGGTTGAGAACTACTACCTTAAACTCTGTAAATATCCGGGTTATTGAAGGGGTATTAAGGATGACACGACATAAAATAGACTAATCAATCAATATATAAATAACTTGTTCACAAAAGACAGATCTTTCCTAAAGAATCTAAGTTAGGGATGGAGAAAACAGCTCCCAATTTCAGGTAAAACAAATGCAGTTCAAACAACGGAAATACAATTGAAAATAAAAACAACAACAATTAAACAAATGAATTAAGCATTAATTTAAAACAGTTGATTCTATACTATTAGAAGAAGCTCAAGCATTGCAGCCTGCCTGATAGAATAAAGACAATGATAGATCATATAATGCTTCTGAAAGAACTGCAATTTTTTTATCATGTCAGAAACTGTAAGTTGATTCTGGTGTGAGAGAATTGGCCATCTGCAGAGCATTGCCCAGGGGATGCCTGGATATTTTACAATCCTGTGGGAGGCTTTTCTCTTGTCCCTGCATGAGAATCTAGAGCTGACAGATGGGAGCTCACTCCATCTCACGGATTCGAACCAACGACCTTCAGGTCAACAATTCAACTGGCACAAGGGTTTAACCCATTGCGCCATCACATTAGACAACTGCATTAACAACCAGTTAATCTGCCCTTTGAAGTCTTTCAACTCAAGTAGCCGAGAAAGTACATTTCCTGCTATCAACAAGGCATTCGTTGGAGATGCCTTGCTCATTATCAATTGCAGAAGACAGAAATGTGAGATAAGACACACACAGGTAGAATTAATTACTCCAGCCCACACCTTTTGACACATGACACTTTCGTTGAATTAGGCTTGTGCACCTGGGAAACACTCCTGCAAGTCACAAGTCCTTATTATCACAAGTAAGTGACATGTACATTTTTAAATAATTTGTGTTTGATTACTATCTTGGGTAAAAGTATGATAGCTGGGACCCAGTGCTGGTAGCACTATGCTGGTTGCGCAATACGGATCTCACGAGGCAGTGCACTGAGTAAGAGACATAGCTGCGGCAGGACATCAGTGAAGTAATGTAACACAGGTGGGACAGAATAACAGTGAAGTAATGTAACTGTTATTGGATTTCATTCATTTTTTTACAACTGCTGGTATTTCTCCCCTCCTTTTTATCCTTCATTCCAATGCAAATACATTTTTGAACGTGTTTGCCTAGGATTTCTGGATAGCCTACATCACTATGCTTCCCTGTTCCCCCCCCCCTTTTCTACCGAACTACCTTGTTGACTCTGTCGCAGGTGTGTCGCTCACTGCGTACGGTCACTCATGCACATGTTCCCTTCTCTAATGCAGAGCCACATTATCAACCAACGTAGCGCTTCCAGCACTGGGTCCCAGCTATCATACTTTCACCATATCCTGCCTTTCTCTTAATATGGGACTCAAAGAATCTCCAGCATTTTATTAACTTGTTGAAAAAGTTAGTATCAAAAGTATTAAATGAAAATAGCATTAATATCTAAGGGCAGCAGTTATTTCTGTGTGATTTGTACCATATTGCCTTGTGATGTAGTGGTTTGAGTGCTGTATGGTACTATGTATCTTCTACCAAGCTGTGAAGCCCACTGAGGGCAATCATTCTCTTCCATCCTGATCTTTATCACAGGGAGCTAATACAGAGAGGAAGAGAGCACTTCATACCACCTTGGGCTCACCAGAGAAATGGAGAAATTAAATAAGAGCTTGTAGGATTGCCATATTATCAAGTGATCTATTGATCCCAATTAGTATTCAACCACTTAAAAATACAAATGTTTGCTAAACCTTGTGTAATAGTCCCATTCTTTATCTCATCAGAATACTGAAATGTATCATATATGTTAGCAACTGCTCAAAGGCTTCTTCTCCACTGTTAAGATTTTTTTCTCTTTGACTTTCTATTTAAAAATCTTTATATTACCATAAATATTTATATCTGTGAACACGCTTAAGATGACATATAAGCATGACAGACATTAGAAACTAATTAAGAACATAAGAAAGACAGAGATGAAGAAAAGCTTTTAGGCTTTTAAAAGTATTTTTAATCTTCCTAAGGAGAAGGGTAGGATATTATACTGAATACATAATGAATATTTAATGAACTAGATATGGTTCAGGAATCTATGCATTTATTTAATATTTTTATGTCTCATTCTTCTTCTTGTACCTAACAGGACAGCTAATTATAAAAAAATGAGCAACTTTAAAGGTAAAGTGTATATAAAACTTGAATTCAATAGAAGAACAGTAATGAGCTCCTCTGGGATGACAATCAACATACTTGAATCCAAAAGCTAACTTAAAAAAATCTCTTGAGTCTGGAGTTTCAATGAGGCCCCTTCTACATTGTCATATAAAATCCAGATTGTCTGCTTTGAACTTGATTATATGGCAGTGTAGACTCATAATCCAGTTCAAAGAAGATAATCTGGATTGTCTGATTTGATAATCTGGATTATATGGCAGTGTAGAAGGGGGCCTGACTGAACTGTGAGAACTGATCTGAGGACAATTTTCAAAAATGGGGATACGGAAAGAGCCTTCTCAAAGACTGAGTAAATAGTCAGGCTTCCCTGGGCAACATTTCTTGTAAACGGCTAATCTTTCCAACCCCAAAGCATTAGTTTACAACATCTTAACCTGGAAGTGTGTTTCTTCCCTCCACAAATGGATGAATTTATGAAATGCTTTTGACACGAAATAAAGTTTATAAAAATGGGGGACCATGACAGAGAACACAACATTCTTGGATTGGGTTGGTTAGTAAACACATGCATGTAATTCTTTTATAGCACACTTTAAGGAACAGAGCAAAATAATATTGGATGCTCTGCAGTTTATAGTGGTGAGCGGAAAAGAGAGCTACCTACTTATTTAATTGTCAGCTGACATTTTTGTATAAATAATTATATTCCACTGCTTGACTGAAGTAACTGAAATCTACCTTGTGAAATCATTAATCCTGTTTCGTGATTAGGAATTCCTACATTTATAAGAGCCTTCAAGAACTGAGAGACTCCTTTTATATGATTTGGTTACAACACTGTTGAAAACAAAATATTTACATGAACAATTAGAAGTTTGGACAAGCTTGTGTATTATGTAACAAATAGCACTCTTTTTCCTTAGAGAAACTGAAAATTACTCTCTTTATACATAAATGCATCAAATATTCATTCCCTCTGATTCTGTCTGCTACTGTATTCCTTTAGAAAAATTTCCACTCTGGAAAAAAAGGCATGAGGAAAAAACTTTTAAGATGCAGGCGGTTCTATCTATTATTTCATTCAGGAGTAAGGAATCTGACTCTGCCTCCAGATACTGTAACTCTACAATCTCGTAACACTGACTGTATTGGTGCGGGCTTTAAGGAACAGAAGAAGTCTGAAGTATCTAAAGGGCCAAAACTTTTCAAACCCTGGATGATAACTCCTAGACCTGGCCACGTTGATTTGAGAGTCCTGGAAACTATAATCCAAGATAGTATCTTTTCCAAACTTTGAAATGGAGCAGCATACAGAAGCTGGCCACTCCTGGACAGCAACATGGGTAGAAGATCTGCCATTCCAGTTCTGCTTAATCTTCATTACTTTCATGTTTTATAGAGTCATCTGGGACATGAATCTTTGACTTGCAAGTTTTTAGCTGAACCAGCAGACAGTAAACTCAAGCTTCCCAACTTTCTTTGACAGGGGCAGGTGGTTTCTCAAAGAAGAATGGCATAATCAAAATGCTGACGTCTGAAAACCGAAACAGTCCTGACATTATCTGGATATTGTGTTTGCCAACAAGCTAACTGACTCACTGTGTTCTTTCTCACACACCAGTGATCTCTAAAACCACATGCATGTTCTTGGCTGCTGAACAGCAATGGCGACACACCTTGTTTCAAACCCAAAAGGACTCATTAAAGTATGCCATACAGGCTGGGAGCCTGCAAAGCCATTTACCGTTGCTTCATTGCAGTCTGTGCATTTGACAACATGCTGGTGAAGCTTCCCTTCCAAATTGATTAGTGATTGGCACACGCGGCAATTTATTACAGGAACCCCACTGGCATCTGGGCTGGCAATGGCGGTGTAAGGTGGCGGGAGTTCAGCTGCAAAAAAAAAAAAGATGAAAGCAATCAGAATAAGCAAGCATACAAATGAACTGAAAACATCTTGATAATACATAATTTCTATTGGTGGGCAATGTGGTGTAGTTAGTTGCATGTTCAAGTAGGACTCTAGGGCCCCTTCCACACAGCTGAGTAAAATCCTACATTACCTGTTTTAAACTGAAATATATGGCAGTGTGGATTCAGATAATCCAGTTTAAAGCAGATATTGTGGGATTTTTCTGCCTTGATATTCTGGGTTATATGGCTGTGGAATCATAGAATCATAGAGTTGGAAGAGACCTTGTGGGTCATCCAGTCCAACCCTCTGCCAAGAAGCAGGACAATCGTGTTCAAAGCACCCCCAACAGATGGCCATCCAGCCTCTGTTTAAAAGCCTCCATAGAAGGAGCCTCCACCACACTGAACAGCTCTCACAGTCAGAAAGTTCATCCTAATGGGCCCTAAGAGATAAGGGTTTGAACCCCACATTGGCCTTGGAAACCTTCTGGGTGCTCTTCAGCCAACCACATTCTTTCAACTTCATAGGAAAGCAACCACCCTCTGAATAAGTCTTGCCAAGAAAACCCCATGACAGATCTCTCTTATGGTCACTATAACTCAGAAACAACTGAGGGAACAACCACCATTAGAAAGAGTGAGACAGCTGCTATACACAGGAGAATTTGCATGTCATGGAAGAGCTATCTGTTAGTTATTACTTACTGCATTTTTAATGCCAGGAAGGAGATGAGATGATGAGATTTTCAGGCTCAGGGGGTGGGGGAAAAACTCCACAATTAATTTAGGGTACTAATGTGTCAACTGGGCTGGGGAACCGTATAATGTGTCACTCAGTCTTGGATTTGCCCCATCAATAAAAATAATTAAAGGTAGTTATTTGAGCATTGTACTATGACTCTGAGGACCAGATTCAAACCACTATGTAGATCCATGGAGTCACCTTTGGCAAGTCTCTCAGGCTCAGAGAAAGGCAAAAGGAACCCCTCTGAACAAATCTTGCCAAGAAAGCTCCACAGTAGGATCGCTATAAGTTGTAAGTAACTTAAAGGCACACTACAACACAGTCACAACATGTCGTTAATACAGAGAATATCAGACTAATCAGCTCACATGACATTGTAGTTTCATCAACTTGTTCATGGTAGAAAACAGATCACCTTAAATTAAAATGGCACTGTTTCAGGATTCATTTCTCAATCTGCTTTACTCGAAATCAAATACAACCGGGACTAATGACATTGTGGCCTCAGCTTCCCATCAACCTCTGCAAAAGGAAATGTGAAGGGAAACCTACAAGCTTCGACAAATTGCTCTAAAAGAGAACTAGTGACATCTCACAGCAGGGTTACAGCCATTAATGCAGTTCATGAATTCATCCATGAACTAAATGCCATGCTGTCCATTTAAAGCAAATATTTGTAAAAGTGTTGAAGGCATGCAATCATACAAATTGCACAGCTGTATCATATCTGTAATACAGGGAACTATCATACATTCTTTCTGAAAAGCAATATTCTACCATTTAAAAAATCTGGCTTTTCTACTACAAAAAGAATGATAAGACAATAGAAACCACTTGTGTTTTGTTTTAATCAGGGGTAAGAAATCTGCAGACTTTGGGCTGCATGTGATTTGCAGCATTCCTCAAACATAACAAAAGAGATGAATCACATCTCCAGAGGTCTCCAAGAAGTGTGATTCACAGGTACATTGCTGTTTTGTGGAAAACCAAACCAGAAAAGGGACTTAGAACTTAAACTGCATCCAGAAGTGACCAGAATGTCACTTCTGATTTTGCACAAAGGAGTGCATCATGTGATGATACAGAAGACCTTCAGCAGTGGAACTCTCTGCCCCGGAGTGTGGTGGAGGCTCCTTCTTTGGAAGCTTTTAAACAGAGGCTGGATGGCCATCTGTCAGGGGTGATTTGAATGCAATATTCCTGCTTCTTGGCAGGGGGTTGGACTGGATGGCCCATGAGGTCTCTTCCAACTCTTTGATTCTATTATTCTAAGACCTAAAACATGGTAGTGGTGGGCAACCCACTAACCACTCCTGATTTAAATCAATAAAGCTCCCTACATTTGAGTTTTTCACATTATTGATGGTGGTTGGATTCATTCGTTTTTAAAACTATTTTCTTTGACACGGTTGGCTTCTATTTGGCAAGGAGCTGAGGTTACGGTAATTTTCAGCCATATGGTCTGCTCTCTGCATTCCCAAGTGGACGTGTCCTGGGAGAACTGAACAATGTGTGTTTTGTGAAAATCTGAATGAGCTTTCAGGTGTAAATACCTGAGCTTCTCAACAAAACCCATGCTTTCTGGCTGTTTCCAACACCTTGAAACATAATTGTACAGTATTACTTTTTGTCTGCAGACTTGTAACTTTCCTTCTTTGTGTAAATGCATTTATATACAGAGCTGGAATAACTTCTTTTTCTCCAGCAAGGTGCATAACCTGTGCAATTATAGAACTGGGGCATGAGAATGGAGGAACCACAAGGATATCCCATCACTAAGGAGAAGAGCAATAGGATGTGACAGGACAGCTTCAGCAATACTGCGAGCATTTCTGCAATACTGTAAACAAACAAGCACCAGGGTAAGTGGGGCATTAAGAAAAAGCGAGGTGAAGGAGACAATCGCATTTTATCACCAAATATGAAAGAAACAGAAAGACAAAAGCACTATAGGATGACTAATAGGATCTGACAGGGAATTGAAAATTGAGAGCAAGACAGCCCATCCCCACCCCACAAAAAGGCTAAAATATACCCAGAAGGATAACTGTTAGTAAACCACATTAAATATTATCTTTTTAATTGAAGATGAGGAAAGTAAAAACACATGCAAGGCTTTTGCATCCTAAAGCACTTTCTGTTAGCACACAATCTACATAATGCCGAATTTGGGCTGTGTGTGCACAGAATGACAAGACAGGATTCTTCCTGGTAGCATAAGTTGGTGTCATTGTGTACTGTCCACTCTTTACTACTTTTCTGGTGCTATCTATCCTATGGGAGGACACACTAGTATAAATCAGAAATTATCTATGGACCTCCAAATGTTAATGAACCACTGTTTTCATCACTCCGACCAGTGGCCAGGCTACCGGTGACTGATGAGAACTGCACTCCCACACCATTGTTGGACCAGACATTCCCAAGTCCAAGCTAAGTGTATTTAATTTTTGTTCCTTTTGCCAAACTAGGATTGTAAACCAGGGATTATTTGATGAGAGGATCAAATAATGAAACTGTAAAAGGAGTAACAATGGCTTACTCTACACAAATTTTGTTTCATGCACAACATTATTTAAAATATTATGAAATTACCATTTGCTGGGGTTGGTCAAAGGAGGGAAAACTGCAAATTAAAAACCCAAACTTTTTTTAACCTGTGAGAACACCTCTATAGGAATCGCTAGGTCCTTTTTGGTCAACTCCTGACAGTAGCCCCATGGTTCCATAGCACTCAGCCATGGCACATAAAGTGGTGCCAAACTGCATTTATTATACCGTGTAGACACACCTTTAGTACTCTCACCATTGCACCCAGGATTGGTAAAGAGGTGAGAGAAACCCTTCTTGGTGGCTGCCCCTGGACTCTGGAATTTCCTTACCAGAAAGGCTAGAATGGATCCCTCCCTGTAGTCCTTCCAATAGCTGGCTATTTTTTAAAAAAATTGGGTAGGCATTTAAAACAGAAAGTTCTTAAGATTGAGCCAGGAATGCTGTATGATGTTTCAATTATTTTAACAGTTTTCACTGATCTGTTTTTATGTGATTCTAATTGACTCATTTTAATAAATGCATGTTTTAGTCTATTTTAATATTTCTATTTTTTAAAGTTATGAGCCACTTTAGGTTACGATCTGCTGGAATTACAACCTTCATCAAGCCTTCCCTAGCAATCTGTTGTCTATAATCTTCTTGCTTACTGTTTCCTGTATGTATATCCAGGTGTGCAGCTTCCTTTACTCTTTGGTTCCTGAGAAATTATAGAAGGGGCTGCAGACATGCTCTCATCTCTCTCTCCTTTTGACTATGTGACCTGTTGATAGCTGTTTTGTTACAAGAGAAATACAAGAGAGATGCCCTGGCCAGCTGGCACAGGGAACCATCTCAAAGATATTTGAAACTAGATTAGTAAGTTTTTTGTACCTGTGTGTGCTGAACACATGAAAGTTGTGAGTAAGCAAAGAATATTATTTACCTCAGAGTCTACTTCATGCATGATATGACAAGTTGTTTCATTGGGGTACCTTTTTGAGCACTGAATAAAAAACACTTGTAAAGCTCTGTTGCTTTTGTGCATTGGCAAATGTCTGTTTTCCTGACAGATCGGAGATTGCAGCCTATTCAACAGTCTTAACAACTGAAACCATTGCCTAGCATAATTATACTGGGTTGTATACTACAAGGGGACATTCTGCTCTAAAGGGTTTTTTGGCTCTTCTCTCAAAAATTATGTTGTGTAATACGATCCAGCGAGAAAAGTGGGATGCAAATAATAATTATTAAATTTAGTAAATGCTCAAGTCTTGTTAACATATACAATGGCAGTAGAAAAAGGTACCCTTTATATAAAATGGGAAATCAAGATTTGCTTTATGTAATTTCTAAAAAATATTAATGGGAATTTGATTCTATGGACACAAAGTTTGCAGACACAGAGGTCACTGTACGTGTTTGTTTGAACCTTTCTCTCAAAATAAGACCCATGGCAGCCTACAACCCAAGTTAAAACGGAACATCTCCTCTCCTCCCTCATGCTACTTTCCTGGCAAGTCTCAGCTTGTGCAAGGCACTGCCCATTTTATCTGTTCCCACACATGAGAAGGAATATAGCTAACCTTAAGTGCACTGGAGACAAGAGCAGCATTGAGCTTAGCTGAGCAAGACAGATTGCAAACTGGGCAAAAGGTCAACACAAGCTTAAACCAACCTCGGGGCAACAGACTTCATTCTAAAA